AATTGGTCGCCGCCGGAGCCTTCAAATATGTAACGACCTTGCACACTCCCGAGGCTCCATCCAGCGCGTAACCAAACGGAGACGGCTTGTGGACCACCCGGAGTGTTCGATAACGTGCTTGCTACACCTTTGCGGAAGGAATGCGTGCCGACGTCTGAGATGGATAAGCCCATGGCCACAATGTCGTCCTCGTGCAATGCACACGTGTTGTGTAACCATGCCGAAAAGCGTTCTTTGGCGTTGTACCCAAACAGTAGTGTTGGTGACCCAGGAAGTTGTGGTCCTCGCGTGAAGAGCAATATCGCAAGGCTACATCAAAATATATTTTTTACTGGAATTACTGTATTAACTGTAAATCCAAGTAGTACCTTAAGATCGGACAAATTTCTGGACGCAAAGGATTAGCATAAATATGCCGTGGAAATGACATCCTTCCTTCTTGGTCGTTCTTCATGAGCCCGTATCGAATCTGCAAAGCATCGCCTGGCCACATAGAATAATCCAATCATAAAACATATCTGAATATGCCAATCTACCTCTCCACGCGATATGCTCATATCGAATTGAAGATGTTGACACTGCCCGGGCCATGAGGTTCCAACACAGTACCAAGAATGGGTGCACGGTAGCAACGAGGGAAAAGTCCGTAGTTGAAGATATAGCATGTTGAGCAAGGTTGCGGTATCCTTCATATTATTGATGTATTTCAAGTATTATAGTAATAATAAATCACAATATATACCTTCAAAAGAAAGTGGAGCTTTTCCTTCTGTCATCGGGACTTCACCGCTATCCTTTAGCTTTGCAAATTTTCTTTTGTATCCAGACACATAGTCTACAATACTTCACCAGGTCACACATACCAATTTCAATACTACTAATACCTTTCATCATGGCAGCCATATCATCAGTCATGTCGACGCCTTCTTCACGATGAAGGAACATGATTGCACTCTTCGCGCGATTGATTGTCGAAACTGAGTTAAACTTCCTTGGTAGGACCTCACGCCCCGCTGTCGTGCGCTTTACCGACGCATACGAGAACATCAGCTTGCATAGCTCGAGGGACACTGGGAGTATGAGCTTTCCGGCTGCGACGTGTAGTGGGTGCTCGCGTTCAAGCCAGCGTGTGAACCGCGTTATGATAGAGTCGTATTGGGACCTGGTGTCCTCTACTACTCGTAGTGCGATGACATCGTCAGCTGTAACGCTCGTGGTATGTGCACGGCGACCCATCGTTTTTTATGTGAATCCTTCTATTTGCTGTACTACTAGTATGCTCATAGTAGCTTGATTTCGTGTTTGTTTCGTGAATCAGCTTATATCTTGGATACAAAGAAAATCATACAAACTTCAAGATTGCCTGCATTGGATATAACTGGATATAACTGGTTTACGAAACAAAAAAGTTTCGTGACTCCATACATTTAGTTTCGTGTTTGTTTCGTAAATCGTGTATAATACGTATTAATAGTACTTAGTAGTACTTCAGTACTGTACGCATTACGACTTTGCGTCCATGGTGGCGGCAGAAAACGTGATTTTTGCTGCATCGCTTCCATCTAACACCACCGCTTGCCCTATTTGAGCTGCCTGCTTGGCTTGCTCGGCCAGCTGCTGCAGCCGCTTGAGCTCGGCCCGCTCCGATGCGATTTGGTCTTCTCGCTGCTTCTCTAGGGCCGTGCGCATCTTGGTTTTCGACACAATTTTCCAAATCAAGTCGGCGACAAACAGAGGCAGCCACACACTGTCGCAGAACTACACGAGTTGGTGCAGCGAGGTAGTGAACACTGTCACACGCTTACTTTGTTCAATGCCGCAATGCATTCTGTGTGCTGTCGAACTCCAGCCCACTCGAGCGCGTTTAAATTCGCCTACATCCAACGATAAGCTTGGAAGAGATGATCGCTGTACGTCGTAATCTGCGACCAGCAGGTCCTTGAGGTCTCCAGCGCGAAGCAGGGCCATCGCTGCTTCCGTGTGTCCGGCCCAGCAAGCCAAATGCCTATCGTTTGAACATCAACCCCCGATTTAGAAAGCGAGAACGCATGCTCTGCGTACAATGGCATGCTCCCGTTCTACACATAGTTACGACACCTGTCATCAGACCAAACAAGATGTGAGTATTTTCAGATTGACGTGCACGTACGTCATCCCTCTTGTGTACATCCGCTCCGCATTCGACCAAGTACTCGATAGTGGTCGTTGCCCCTCCTTTGGCAGCCCTGTCGATTGATCGCGTTCAACAAATCGTCATTTCAATGCATTGTACCAGTGGAGTGGCGTTTGGTGAAACTAAAGCCACACCAACTCGTGGGCCAAGTAGTACTATAGTAGTGAGGGTTCGTACCATCCACGGATCCAACGTTGTGTGGACCGATACGCCTTCGACTTTAACCAAGTGGTGGACTCGAACAAGGTCGTTCTTGATTGATGCCCAGAAGATGTCGCTACACACTTGCGACCGGCATGACCATTTATTCGATTTGCTTCATGCGTTACCTGCTTCGGCAGCGGCACATACATACTTGTCCATGGGCGACTTGACTTTACGAGGCTCGGTCCATATCCGAACTTGGACGGGGGCCTTTCGTGCAATCGCTCGCAGTTTCTTCATATTCAACGCGAGCATGTCGCGCTCCTTCTTGAAGAGCCCGTCGCGCGGGGGCGATCCGTCCTTGGTTGCCCCGGACGTCCTCGTCGTTCTAGTGGCTTTGTCTTGTTTCGTTGGATGGGTTTCATCGTGCTTCGTCGTCTTATCGATTGGTTTGTCCTTCGCCCGAGGTTGCTTTGCCGACTGTGGCCAAAGTTGTACCCTTAGTAAGCAACATTTCAATGGATGAAGGAACGTACCTTGCTTCGGGGACGCTCATCGTCCGCAACCTCATCGACTTGGTCCATGGATATGCTCAACAGAGGGGCGTCGCTTGTTGGCTGCATGTGTTGTGGCAATAGACGGTTTGATTCCTCGACGAGATCGTTCACTTCAGGGAACCCTGGAGGCGTTGTCGCCTTGTCCCCGCTAGCGTCCCCTTGGACTTCTTCAGCTTCGTCACCATCGCTGTCATCGTTTTGTTCTTCGTCGAGGGCTGCAAAGGCACTTTCCTCGCCTTCGTCATCATTCTTGCCTTCTGATCCCTGGTTGGCGTCGTCCTCGGACGACCAGGGGACGTTGATGTCGGCTTCAACCTAGGTAAATGCAAGCTTTGAAACCACATTCGATAGCCGAGCCACTTACATCCGAGGTGCCGCCTGCAGCAAGGTCATCACCTCCAACGTCTGGCGCTGTTCCATCGTCCACACCGGTGCTCATATGCTGTAAAAGTTCTCAATGGTATATCTATTGTTCCTCCACCGAAACTGCCAGTTATAGAAAAGTCGACCCTTTCTAAACACTCACCGTTACACTAACTTTATGGGCAAATTGATCAGGTGAAGCCACAGAACGCCACGTCATATCAATTTTCGTGCTTCAACCTGATGTATCCGGGTAGTATCCGGATATATTCAGAAATCTGCCGTCGCACTGACACAAAACCCATGACTCCGATGGACGACGACCTCTTGGCAACGTGCTTGCGCGAACTGGACAATGACGACAGCGTGGTGGACTACGACCTCCCCGACGAAGACATAGCGTCGCTCATGGAGGTCCTCCACGCCGCCGACTCCAGGACCGACACGTCGTCTCAGACGAAGAAGAAGCGCAACCGAAAGCGAGCAGCCCATGAACTCGTGTACTTGCGCGATCAAGTCCTGGAATATACGCGGCGGCTGGGGGACCTACAGGCACGCACGCTTCCTCGCAGCCCAGAGTCATGGGTGTGGCAAGAACGGTCGTTGCGCCAGGCTTGTGAGCGCAAGTCTGCCGAAGACGAAAACGTAGCCTTGAAGGACCTGTTGCAACGCCAAGTCAAGGTGGCAGAATCGCTCATGAAGATTGTCAGCAAACGGCCGCGGTTGGCCGAGATGACGTATCTGGACAAGTGGACGCAGTCGTCGCGGACGCTCGTGGTTGATCCTGTGGAACGACGGGATATGTTCCATCGGCTTCTCGACGGTCAGTACAGTCGCCTCGAGAATGTGTTGATTGCGCAGCGCCTTCTTGACTCGAGTGAAGCCGTCACGAAGACGGAAGTGTCGTACGACGAGCATTCGCGCGATATTGTCTTTGATTTTGTCGTCACCGATGTTGCGGCAGTGGACTATTTGGAATGTGCCCGTGTGTTGTGGAGCATGTACGGGGACGCGTACGAAACCGAGTTTGACATAACTGAGGTGTCTAATGTTGACGTGATAGCCTCTCATTAACCATTGCATGTGTAGCCGCTCGAGTCGCTGGACGAGAACGCGATGCTCGTCAAGATGCTGCTCAAGTTCCGCAAGTTTGGCCTGGTGGTGCACCAGCACATGGGATGTAAGCGATACTTTGAGCACAATCGCGTGGTGATGGTGTTTGACTCGATCTTGGACGACCCCATCCATCCATACCCCCCGGGGGTATACGTTGCCCGAGAGACGTCGTGGTAATCACGGCAAGACGTGCCTTTCACTTGTTGACAGGTGGTGGTACACATATATGTATGTAGGTTGACAGTGACCCGCGAAGGCGATAACAAGTGCTCAATGCAATTCTACTGTCATGGCAGCCTCCCTTGCAAGTCGTCATCCACGGAACGAATGGAGGATGAGGCCGATGACGTGGATGGAGTGCGTACGATGGCTTTTGCTGAACACATGATGGATTGCTATAAACGCAGCCTTGACTTGCTCGGACTGTACCTCCATGGCCAGCTCAAGATGCTACCGACGCCGCACGACCCGTCGCAGGCCCTAGAATTGGCCTAATCTATCTACTAGTAAATGTACGACTGTGGGGTATGGCTATACTGAATGTGTGGATGATGTCTACAGAGGGGATAGCGCTGTGATTAGTGTGTGACACAGTATCTCTATACCAGTAGTTTGAAGGATTTTACTTGGACAAACTTGGAACGTTAGTTGGTCGACAGGTACTGACTGTACAGCACTATGTAGTGGGATGATCACAGACACCGACGCATGTACATATAGTAGGAACATGAAAGTCCAACGTCCAATAGGAATATTCAGTTTGCACTTCGTATGCCGAAGTTGTTGTACGTAAATAGATGGTATTGTCGATATATTCAAAATTCGAGTGCGGTGCTCTATCAAAGGAGCAGACAATCGATATACAACCAATCAAAACCCACAACACACTTTTCAAGTGGCCAATCAAACTATCCACTCTTCACATGGAATTAGTGTGTGACTGAAACTAGTGTGATACTGGACGATCTCTACTACATACAAAAGTCAGGACAAAGAATCACGATCGATAGAGTTGGCACTAACAGTAGTCGAGTAATAGAATAGGTCGACAACACATGCGTCTTAGCGTCCGTCTGTGGCCTCTTCGTGAAGGGTCGGTCATTCCGCTGGAGAATCGTACAGCGTGCGTTTCGTATCGAGCGGGTCCATCACTGCCAAGAGCGTGTGATCGATGTGGATGCTCAGTGACTCGAGGTTGTCGCGGTAGCTCGCCATCATAAACTGCGCAAACTCCATGTGATACGCCGCCGGCATGGACATGATGTCGTCTTCATTGTCGTCGTCGTCCGTGTCGTTGTTCAATGTCAGGAGAAGTTCCAACGGTGTCACATCCTGCCGGGACTTGCACGGCAAAGTGCCGTGGGCGTAATACTTGACAGTGCACTTGTCACTCGAGTCGGCTTTGGAGATCACAAGCCTACGCAATCAACCACACCCAAACGCAAGAGTCACGACTGGATAACGTCATCATGTCAAGGTGTACTACCACGCCGTTTCATGGGCCACATAAGCATTGGCCGGGAACGGGTACAAGGCATCGCCGACCACAGACTGAAACACAATCACCACTCGATCTGGCTCTGTATATCGTTTGCACACGACTTGGTTGTGCACGGTAAACTCGTACGCTTTGAAGTGGAGCAAATGGTGGTAGTACACGGTGTGGTCGTCAATGCGTTGAATGGGCTACACAAGTGGTCCAAGGTCAAATGTACGTCGTCATAACATGGTTAGTATGCCATGTTGTAGTTAGTAGATGCCAGGAAGTAGTCGCACCCGAAGGATCGCTGTCTCCAACGTGATGTCCATGTTCTCAAAGTACATGGTCCACAGAATAGATGCACAGTCGTGGACATTCACGTTCAACGCGCGGCGCATGATGCAGTCAAACCCGATACGCTCATCCACGTACTGGACGTTCGTTTCAATCGCAGGGGCCGTCGCCACTGGCGGGTCCAACAGCCGCTTTGTGATGAAGTGGCATTCCCATTTGGGGTATTCTGCGTCCACCATCGCGTGCATCCTGGCCACGCGGGCCGAGGGGTCGGCGGGAAGGGCATCATGGCGCGCGCCCACGTCCAAGTACATTTCCTCCGCGAGCTTGGGCCGTTTGGTGACGATTTTGACAAGCGATTCCACGATTTTCAGCTGCCCTTCCAGCGCAGCCTTGAGCTTGTGGTTCTCTTGTTCAACTGCCGCCCGTTCGGCAGCTTGCCGACGAGACCGCCCTTCCCACTGACTGACTGCCGCCAGATCAGGCACCATGGCTTGCAAGGCGTGGAGCTGCTGCGTGTACTCCGCGACCTGACCCTTGAGATACGCCAGCTCGTCCATGGCCCTCTTTCGGATACGCTTGCGCTTGGGGACGGCCACAAGTTCGTCGTCATGAATGGTTTCGTCTGACGTTAACGACTCGCAGCCGTCCTTCGCAGCCATCAGCATTTGGACGCCGCTTCCACTTGATGTTGCCATGTCAGTTAACAGCAAGGAAACAATGCGACAGCATCAAGCGACCAATTTTTGCATAATTTGTTCAAATTACAGTATATAAATTGCACCATTCCATGTGGAATTTTGATTGGAATTGGGTAATGAAACTCCATGAAACTCCAAAACGTGTACGTCTGAAAGGCAGGAATGCACGTCATTTTGCACGGTATAAACCAATTTGATTGCTAAACATGCACCAATCAGTTTAATTCAAGTCATAAATTTAGACGAATGGCGCCACGCCAAAAACAATGTGACAATCATTACGGACCAGACTGGTATTGTGAATGTTTGTATCACAATAACCTCTATAAACAAATCCGGATAAAAGGTCAGAGTTTGGAACAATACTCTGTCACTTGAAAGGTCGCGCCTGTTCGAATCCGTAAGCTAATTGCTGAAAATGAGGTGGCTTGTCGTGGCTGTTTGGATGATGGCGTTGGGGAGACGCCCAACCTGCGCCGGGAACTCAAAACTACTGTACAATCATATCAAATACGTTCAATTAACCCCAGCTACAACGATTCAAATTCACAACTACAGTATGTAGTTTGGTTGGTTTACGCGTCGTGCATCCATCTGTTAGCATCTAGTACAATTGTTTGGACTGAACCGACACGGCTCGGTCGACAGAGATCGTCTGCTGGTATGGGTTGTAGCGCGCGTAGAAGGGCTTCTTCATGTCTTCTGTGAACTCGCGCATGCGGGCCTTGGCATCCGCGAGGCTGTCGGCCACATAGTACACGGGCTGGTACGTCGTGATCGGGTACTTTTGCTTGGCGGCGTCCACGGGGTTCCACGGGCGGTACTCGGGGAACGCAGCTTCGCCGCCCGCCGGTCGGGTCGGAGAGCACGCGTATTCGAGTTCACCAAAGCTCGACAACAGCCCCGCGCCGTACGCCTAACAATCACCACACATATAAATCTATCCAGCGTAACAAACTATATCGAATGTCCAAACCTTCTTTTCGCCGTTTTGCATGCACACACCAAACTCCACTGAAAACCAGTAGCACGTGGCCAGCCGTTCAATCTCTTCGTCTGACGCGCCTAGCGACGCTAGCCCAATCTCATGCGAAAAGTCGGCAAAATCCGGATCCTACACAATGATGATCCTCTGATGTGATGGGGGGAGGGTTGGTATGGGGAGGACGACGTACGGCAAACATGGGCGCGTGGCCCATCAGTTCGTGGCAAATGTCCGGCTCGGGGGTGTACAGCGGCACCGAGTGGTGGCGGAGGTACTACATCATAACAAGCGTCAATGAAAATGTCCAAATAATCATATTGTGATAAACTTCCAAAACTAAGTTTGTCAAACCAAGGTTGAATCACGCACGAGTTTTGATTGGTTGAATATACTACTTGTCCTATCTGTAAGAAGAGCCAATCCAATCCTCTCCAAAATGGTTAAGATCGATTCGTGATTCGACCGAGTCTGGAAATTTGTATCGAATATACCACAATACTATCCATTTTCAAAGAAAATGCCAAAAAAATCAAACAAAATGAGGCACTTTGCCCTTTGGATGTACCTGCGTGGAGAAAAAGACGCGGAAGGCCAGACCGTTGAGGAAATCGCGCGCCGAGAGCAGACCCGCCACAGGGCGCAGCGTGAATCCTAACAACATTCAGGCATGACGCTCTTGGTTTTTATTGGCTGTTTTATTGTCGATTTGATACAAATTTGGGGTGCAATCGAATCGCGCAAACCGATCCACAATCGATCTGATTGGTTGAATTTCATTGAGAAATGGGTTTTTATTGGCTAATAATTTTGAGCTCATCTGAGGTAGCCAATCAAATCGATTTAACAAATATGTAAATTCCAACGAGAAACCACGCCACAACACAATGAAATTGCACTCGAAAGCACGATACCTGTGCATTCTTTCAAAAAGTCGGAAATGTCTTGAGCCTGCGGAATATTGTCGCGCCCGTAGCCGCAGTTGCTTTCCAACAGCGGCAAAATGTACTTGAACTCGTCGCACGCGTACTTGGCCCACATGTCTTCCATGCGGTCGTACACGACGCCCCACGTCTTGATCTACGCACAATAATATGTCGTCAGAGAATGACACCAACAATAGCCATGGTCGTGCCTCGTTCTCCGTGTATTCGATGCGAGGAATGGTTTGGCCTTGGCGGAAGTTGACGGCAATCTCCGTCAACTGGTCCCGACGGGCTCGGTATACTGGGTCCTGCTCGAACTTGTCAACACTTTCATGGCTCACATGGCTACAACTTACCGAGAAACCAGGGTGGTCACTCTGCAATTCTTCCCCAGCATCCAACGTCTACGTGGATGGTGTACAGTGTGTTAGCCACCATACCCCCCCCAATCGAACATGTTAAATGCAATGGATGGAGTCGTACCTTAACCGTCAAGTCCAAATCGTTGATTCTGCGGGGAAACCATGGCACTATATGCAATCGTTGAGACGACTTGGTAGGCCTATCTCAACCGACGTACCCTTCTTGTCGTTGAGCACGAGGATCTGTTTGCAATGGCGCTTGAGGTCGTCCAAGAGGTCGTCCACGGCAGTCTCGCCCGGTCGGCCGTCAAAGTCGATGTAAAACGCGTAGTCAGGGGCCGGGCCTTTGGTCGGGCGGCTCTCGATGCGTACCATGTTGACGTCGTGCTTCCAAAAGAACTTGAGCACGTCCTGGAGGGAACCGGGGCCGTCGTTTGTCTCCAGTAGCAGAGATGTCTTGGGCTTGTCCAACCCACGCACCACTGCCGTCTGCGAGTACGCGCGGACGAATTGGGCGGCAGGCGACAGGGACTTCTTGTGGGTCGACGGACCGAACGACCGAGCCAGTGTGCTGCGAGCGATGGAGGGAAGCGATGCCGTGGTCAACCGAGCCGTTTGGCGGAAGGCGTGGCTGCGGCTGCTGCTCAAGACACCGGCGGCGAGCCGAGAGGTTGTCGTGCGAAAGGCCATAGTGGTTGTTGTGGTGGAGGGATAAAGAAATATGCACACTGGCACGATGTCAGAACTCTTCAACAGTTGCAAGATACATGCGCATGATTGGTTAAAACTCTAGCTTTTCAAGAATTGACCAATCACAGCCCACGATGCAATGGATGAATCCCCAAGTTGCAGTTGCACCGCTAAATCATGTCGCAGAAAAATGAAGCCTTCCCCCCAACATTTCGAGCAAGTGGAGGCACGCCCTGTCACGATGATGTGAATACGCGTGTTGGGAATGTGTGACAGCGTGATGGGGGTACTTGGGGGGGTCCACCTCCTTCTTCTCCACCCACCCGCCAAGGCCAGCGACAGCGCGGACAAGTGTCACCATCCATTACTCACGTCTAAAGCTCCCTAGACGTTCTGGCCACACCCAGCCCGCCCAGTCCGCTGGGAACCCGCCCGAACCCAGAATTAACTTTGAACAAATGATGGATGTCCACCCAACCCGACTTTCTCTGCCCGTGGATTTCGCCAGTCAGGGTGCACTTTGAGCCGCAAACTTCAAGTTGAAATCTTGTGGACGACAAATCGTTGAAAACTTGTCATCTTTTTTTTGTACCAGTAGCCAGCCACATTTGGTCCTGCGGAAGTCCAGACACGACAGACAGCGGGCGCAAATTGACTGTGAATGCACTTTGCTGGATGCGTGTAGAATCCAATGGGCGCTGTGGTACAGTAGGTACCGGTAGTAAGTTGCTTCCTGTTCGAAATGCTGGGGTTGGTGCAGCAGGCGCAGACATCAAAGTATGCACAAGGGATGTATACCAAGCGTAAGATGATCGTGTTACCCTTAAGCGTTGAACTGACGCATGGCGTTGAACTATGTGCATAACTTTATATCTCAACGCCACGTTCATGGAGTGTCCTCGACTTCTATAGAATGGATAGAACGAACAATGTGGCTATTGACTTTGCAAACATCAATCGCAGCCGTCGCCGCAGTCATATGTAGAGCTGTATTTGCTGACATTTTCCATCACGAAATCTTGGACCATCCGTAGTAGTTATCCCACGTCTCCCTTCTTGGAATGAAGTCTTCCGTGGCCGTTCCGACCCCAAGTGGTTTCACATTTCATTTGGACCTGATGGCGCTGCGTAGGCCATTCCGGTACATTCGAAAATTTGTGCTGGCTTCATCCGTCTTCTGGTTGCGAGGCTTTGCCACCAGACGGCGAACATTCCATCGAGCTAAGTCAAGTGCTGTTCCTATTTCGACGGTGGACGAAAGACCTAGCTGGGGGATGCAGGGGTACCAGTGCCCCCCGTCGGGCATGCGGTGAATGGCAGGCATGAAAGCGGCAGTCGTGCTGAATAAAGTCCATCACGAGCCTGTAACGACGAAGCGCCGACACATGTCGCTCGAGAGATGTCGTCAGCACGAACATGATGTGTACAACCGACTGCGATGAATTGGACGCACTTGATCACAACGTCGCAGTGATGGCTTCATCGGTTGACGTCATTGCGCTCATAAATGCGCGTTAATGCAATTACTCTTAGCTAAACGCAGTATCCTGAACTGTTCGCTGAGAGGGCTGTGACTGGCTCCACGAGCGTTGCCTTGCTTGAAACTTGGTTGACAGGTAGTCGTTGTAGCTTGTGTTGCATGAGCTTAAAATCGTGTGGCCCCATTGCTCGCATCTACACGCCAGTATTTTAGGCGCTATGCAACGTTACCGAACTCCTTACGTAGCCTTGTCCAAGCTGACACCGTCGAATCTGGCTAGTCATGCCAGGCAATACAACATCTACAATGCATGCGTCTTTGCCACAGACGGTGGCCACGACCTCTCCCACAAGGAATGCATCATTGGCGATGAGAATATTCGACCATTGTGCATCCACAACGTAGATCTGAACCAACAAACCAGGCTAGATTGTGGCGACACTAAGCAAACGGGTTGGAAGGTCGAAGAATGTAGTTACCAAGCCAAAGCATCCTTGTGGTGGGGGGTTTCCAATGGTGACTTGCGGAAGAAGCGAGCCTCGGGGGACGTACACATCCTGCTCTGGTTTGTCGCCTTGAACGTGCACCAGGACGTAGGTATTGTCGTCGTCGTTGTCACCCTCGCGGCTTGTAGCGTGGCCGAGGTACCAGATATGCAGCCACTTCTTCAGCACGATCATGTTTTTTTCGGCGGTTTCTTCACGAAACGGTCTCACGACCAACATTCTCAAAGTATCGAAGTCGAATGTTCGTACAAGATACGCCGCTACGACCTTGTCAAGGCATTGTGACCTTGTGACCTTGCTACCAGCCTCTTTACGATGCAACAAGTGATGTCTATGGACTCTGGGAAGACGACTTTGTCCTCTTGGGCAGGGAAAACCATGGGCCACTTCCGCTCGACTACGAGAAAGTCACTCGATGGCGGGGTCGATGAGATGTCGACCGTGGCGTCAACTAGCCTCCATCGCCTCATGCGCAAGTCCGACTCCAAGGATGCTGATGCATTAACTGCATTCCTTACTGCGCTCGACGACAAGGACGTTAATGGTGTCACCTCTGCCGTTCAAAACACACCTAAGTTCATCGAGTTCCCCATCCATGTAATGACCATCAACGCAGTGTATCACCTCAAAGCTCTCATGTAGAACGATGGCATCTTGTTGCATGCTCTTTGCCGGTGGCCCAATCTCTCGGACGTGTTGCACCTCCTCGAACTTGCTGTGCACACGTTTCCCGAAGGCGTGGCCTTCATGGACGAGGTACTGGCATCCCTGCATCGCCCTCGTGTTCATGGTTGGGGTAGATGGGTCGCACTCCGCTTCACTGGCTTTGCATGAACCCGACTGTGTGTGCTCGGGGCATCGAGGTTCTCGTCCTGGGCTTTCCCGTGTCGGCAGCCATGTGCGACAAGGAGTCGTCACTTCCCATCCACTACTTGAGCTGCAACCCATCGCAAACGATCGACATGACGTTAAAACTACAGCACTACGAAACGTTTGCCCTGCGAAATCGAGTAGTCCTCTACTTGAGAAACTTCACCATGTTCATGCTGACGACATCATGACTAGGAAGGCCGTACGCCGCTGCATTGCCTCTTGGCGCGCCACTCAACCGACTTTGAGCTATGCGCGACCCTCTTGTCCTTGGCGCCCGAAGCCATCTCCATTGCCGACAATGTACTTTGACTCGACGTTATTTTTCCTGTAAACGATACCGCGTATATATGTGTAGATGGGCCGGCACATTTTGCATTGGGCATGTGCGGGAAAGAAGAGCTTGGATATGCAACTGCTTCAACTTGTTCTGACACTGGACCCCACTGCAGCCAGTCGAAGCGACATGGTATGTTCGTACGGTTGTGTCGTCCATCCACGTACCTCATGTTTGGGCTTTGTGGCGGTAGAAAGGCCAGTTGCCCCTGCATGTCCTGGTCTCAAATCAATTGGTCACAGTCGACGCCATTCAGTTACTCCTGCCAGCATATCCCCACGCCGTGGATGTGATCGATGCGGTGGGTTCGTTGCTTTCGTGCTTGCTTCCAGTGTATTGACGCAGTTTTGTCAACAGAGCGGCCAATCTCCCCTGCATTTGCTAGGTGCCAACGAGTCGGTGCATCTTGCCATGCTCGTAGCACTGACTGACCCTGGTCGGAATGTTCCCACGAGCTTGAAATGGCTCGACGATGTATGGCAGCAGTCTCTCGTGTCGAATCTAAAAATAATATAAATCATTGGACTTGACATGGATTAATAATATTATTAGGAACACTCGTCGGCCCTGCACATCTTGTGCACAAACCCTCGCGCCACGACCGCGATGGTCGAGCTCGTTCTGCAGACGTACCCCGCGTCTGCGCAGCTTGTCGATCTGGTACAGCCCCATTTATTATCAATATTCTTGTTTCAATCGTTTTCCTAGTTATTAGAATATTAATATTTGTATGGGTGGTGTAGTATGGAGCCACACCGTTCCACTACACGTGCGGCAATCCCGCCGTGACGGTGGACCTTGTATGGGTATTTTTAGACAAATGCCCCGCCGTGTGCAAAGTCGTCGACCAAGTACGTTTTCGAAATCAATAATAATATTTTAAATATATATATATATAATATTTGTTACCGGTAGCGTGGCAAAACCCCACTCCACTACCTCTGTGCCAACCCAAACGTGACCCCCGACCTGATCAGCATCGTGTTTGATGCGTATCCAACGTCGTCGCAAGTTATGGACAACGTACAGCACCACCATCCATGCAAATGAGCGAAAATATAAGCCGAAAGAACTGTAGGCCATGAAGCTGCCTGTGCACTATATAATCGAAAACCCGGGCATCCCGTCGGATATGGCGTACCGACTGCTGGCCAACGGATCCGCCTACCGCCTGCGCTACGACATCCAGGAAGTACCCCATGTCCCACATGCGTGCGTCACGTACTACTTCAACGAGACCTTCTCGCCCGCCACCGTCTACTGCGCCGTGGACGTTGCGCTGGACTCGCGCACGTCCAAGGCGGTGGTTCTGCACTACTTTTCGGACCGAACAACGTTCCAGCACCTCTTGACGTCGTTGGCGCAGCTCGACATCTCGGTATTGACTTTGTTTTACCCAAAATTTGGATGACTTTTGTGCTTCTTCGCCACATCTATCTATCGATGTTTAGGTAAAGATCGTCTCACACTAGTTTCAGTCACACACAGAATTCGATGTTATATTGGTTGGATAATTTGATTGGCTACTTGATTCGTGTTCTGTCTTTTGATTGGTCGATCAATTGGCTGTCGATCTATTTGGTGCTACTGCTCCTTCGATTGAGTATGTACCTGACTCTAATATTTCGAATCGACTTGACAATATATACTCATATGATGATTACTCGACCATCCATGATAATATGTGAAAAAAAGATCATCATGTATTTACGATAAAAATAATCATCATGTATTGTCGATATGATACAAATTTGGGGAGAGGCCAAACCGACCTTCAATCGATCTGATTGGTTGAATTTCATTTAGAAGGTTTTGATTGGCTAATAATTTTGAGCTCATCGGAGGTAGCCAATCAAATCGATTTAAATTCCAACGAGAAACCACGCCACAACACGAAATTTCACTCGAAAGCACAATATTTACGATATATTTGGTGTGTGTGTGTAGAGCTCCGACACGACAAGTGTAGCGTTGGTGGACTCGTTTGACAACGCCCGCAAGCGAATTCGAATCGAGTACGAAGTCCCCCATATGACGTGGCACGCTCGCTCGTTGTAGCCCATCATGTGATGAATCAACCAAGTAGGGATGCGTCGCCCATCTTGGACTTCTGCCTCGTCCTCGAGCACCCCGCCGCTACCGTCGACGAAATCCGGACCCAAATCGACGCTCAAGCGCTCGTGACGTCGCTGGGCCAGTGCGTCTCCCACTGGCACACGACTGCTGGTCTAGCCCACGGCAACATGGTAGGACGAATCCAATCATCCAATCGAATTCTGGTTTGAGTGCACCTTGTCGCAGCTAAACCGTGTGTAGACGCCGCGGTCGATTGGGTTCTTTCCCGACCGTGGGGGTGCCTTCAAACTGCTTCCGGCCTTGACCAACCAGTCCACAACAGCAACAATATCCCCCCCCCTCCAAATCGCTTATTACCCCGTCACAGAACCGCTGTACTGCGCACCTGAAATGGCCGAGGTGCTGTTAACACGTCCGTTTGCAGTGCCGACACTGGCGTCAGACATGTGGCAATTTGGCTGCACAATGTACGATCAGAGCTATCTATTGGTCATGTGATTTATTTACGTGTAGGTACGAAGTGGTTACGGGGGTGCCGCTGGTCACTGCCATTGCACCGTACAGTGCCATGCTCCCCCCCAAACAACTGTACCACGTGATTGCGTCACTCACAGACGCCGTCTTGGAGCATGTGCTGACCCCCCTACCGACGGACATTCGCGACACGTTGTCGCATGTGCTCAAGGTCCAACCAGGGGCTCGTTGGACGATCGATCGTGTCATGGTATATATATATATATATATATATATATATAGTATTGTCATTCTTTTACCCAATATTTGGACTTTTGTGCGGATTCTTTGCCAAAACGATCGATCGATTGTTTGTACACTGACTTTTGCATCGAAAGCTCGTCGGGTATAACACTAATTTCATTCACACACTAATTATATGTTGAATCGGGTGAAGAGTGGATAATTTTGATTGGCCACTTGATTAATGTTGTGGTTTTTGATTGGTCCTATATCAATCGATATACGACCAATCAAAAACCACAACATTAATCAAGTGGCCAATCAAAATTATCCAAGCTACTGCCGATTCGATTGAGCACCCAAACTCTCCAATTTTTTTTGTTCTTTTGCAGTAAAAGTGCAAAAATTAATAATATAAATAAATATCTTTTTTCGATTCATCGACTTGACAATAATATCGTCGTTACCCACTGTCGAAACACTGTATCATGGTGGCGGTAGGGCGTGGCGGGTCTGTCGATGCTATCGCACCCGCCCTCCTCGTCCTCCGAGGTCCGATCAAGAGCGTCGTCATGTCTGTTGTGCTTACAAGTAGTGCTTGGTTGGTTTGATTGTAGCAATTGAAGTGGGGGTTCAGTTGTCCGTTGGCAGGAGGGCGTGCCTGCAGTCACGACCAAGAAGCCGCCATCCACATGGCGCTCCAAGCAGACGTTGACCAACTCACACAAATGCTCCTCCAAGCCAAGACCCAACTTCGCCATGTAGAACTGGTAGCCCACGAACAATATGTTTATAGAGGAATATACGTGAACGATATGTATCGAGTAGGACCGCGATGCGTTGCAGCGGCAGCTGTGTGAGCTCGTGGACCACTTCAACAGCGTGCTGCAGGACAAGGAAGAAACCAAACACGTGGCAGCGGTAACCGAAATGAAGCGCGCGTCGTTGGCCACGCAGCTCGACACGATGGTGCACATGGTCATGTCTGTGATCCCCCTCGCCCAACAGGTACAGTATGCGATACCTAATATTGAGCTTTTACCCCAAATTTGGACTTTTAATCGCCAAATCTAGCAATCGATTCTTTGTATGTTTGGTATAACACTAATTGAAGGCACACACTAATTCGACGTCGATGATGATTTCCTGCAACTTGATTGGATAAATACCGTGCCGATTCTATCTTCTGTACATTCGGTTGTGTGTCCCAGTTTAGAATAAACACAAGAATATATATATATATATATATCCGAGGCACATTCGAGGGTAGAATATCGTGGAATCGATGCTACTAAGGGGATTCATGTTGTCGACTCGATTCGCGAAAAAATATGTAAACGAATAAAGCACAATGGTAGTATACGTATAGTGTGCAAAAATATTTACATGGCTGTGGTACCCTCTCACAATGCAACTTCACAATGCGAATTATATTATATAAGTACTACTTTGAGCTCTAAATGAGTTGTACGATTATAACCTGACGCGCGCGAGACTCGTAGGTGTATGGGCAATCCAGCGACGACTTTTTAGCGCACACGATGGCAGACGCGGCGAACGCTACGGTGAAGCCATCGTACGCCATCGATCAGTCAACGACGCCGTCGAGTCTGGTGGGGCTGGTGAAGGCGCACATTCGCCACACAATAGTCTCAAAGGGGTGCATTGCCAAGTGGGCCACGTCACACTCTACCAACGTACCTTCGCTGCTGGACGACCATCCGTTCCTTGGCAACCCTGCAGATTGCGACGCCTCGCCGAATATGTACCTGTAAAGAAACGCTGAAGCAGCATCCACCGTTTATGGAACTCTTTTTATTATTATTAGTATTATGGTTGTCCAATACTACTAGTAATACTATGGGGTCGCAAAATCGAATTGCGGACGAGTTCGTACGTGACGAAAAATAGGCAGCACCAGGGAGCTTCGCGAAGGTAGTAGGCCGCAAATCCTTTGTAAAACGCTCGTACCCCATGCATTTGGTACAGTTCCCGACCACAATCGAGCACGCCAGTGTAGTGGCGGTTGTTCTGGTGAGCCATCAACCGTGTCTTGATAACGTCCAGCCTAGCCATGCCATAAGATATATCACTTGGTTCTATTGGTTTTCATCGAGGGGCAGTTCGACAACTCACGGGCTAGACACCACCGCGCCGGCAAACCCCGCGACTAAACTCGCCCCCATGGTCGCCCCCACGGTGCCCTCGGTCACAAGGCCAACGGCAATCAGCGATTGCTTGCTACAGTATCACACTATACGGTTCATAAGGAAATCCACCGGTCTATCCATACCATTCGTCGTATGTACCGAACTCGACACCGTTTACAACGAAACCTCGCTGGATGTTGGGCCACATTCCCTAGAAGATGCATTTTGTCATGATAATCCCAGCTACAACGATCTGCGATACAGTGTACCCGGAGAAACCCACGGGAGCCTTCGGCATGGTAGATTTGTCTACAGGCGTCGCCAATACCGCGATACAAACGAGTGCCCGAGCGGTCGTTCTGCGAGGGTATTTCAAGGTCATATGGAAGTCCAGGATGAGATACGTATGATGACCTGCATTTTGACTTTGATCACATCGAGCCTACGCAAAGTTGGCCATATGACACTGAATTTCAAGTTGGGTTGAGATAACAGTTGGTCTCGTACGGATTCGCTAGGGCAACGCCAATGGCCCCAGAGATACCCCCTGCCACGATTTTCTTGACGTATGTGGCCTCGCCAGGCCAGACGGAACTGTCTCGCAGGGGCGTGTACAGGACCATGCTGGCGCTGTAAAAGACCACCTGGCGCACCACGGCAGGCTTGGCCCCGTTCCACAGCGACCACGGCCCTTCGTACCGCACGACTTTACGAATCGTGTCGAGTAAACCGGCTAGATCATATAACATATGTATATAAGGTGAGGTTGAGAAATATCATAGGGCTACAGTTGAATTGGACAGTAGTAGAAGTGCGCAGGCCATGGGTTTGCATGCGAACTTTGGAGCAGTCCATTGGAAGGGTGCATAGCTCTGCCGTCGTGGACGCCACCGCGCCAGCCACAAACCGCACGGCGAGCGGGTCCTTGTGTTCCATCTCAAACGAACCTCGGCGGCGGCCAGTTACATGGCGGTTTCATACTCAAATCGCAGGACAAACGTTTCCCAAACTTTAGAAGTGTTCCAGTGTCAAAACGTCGTGGTGAGTGAAGGATCATGAGGTCCATCGTCAGTGTGCGTGCATATACAGGATACAACGATCATGTTAGCGTTGCCGTCGTGATGGATTCAACCCAAGTGTCTGTCTGTACTCACGCCATTGGGTCGCGTACCCGCCAAAAAGGACATGGGGCCTGCTGACCACTCGATGGACAATCTGATTTTGAAGCTTTCGCCATGTCTGGAGCGTTGGGTTTTTACAGTATCCTTCTAGGCTCGTTCGTTGAAAGCAAGTGTCCGTCTCTTGTCCCTTTCAACGAGGTAATCAGAAGGTATCAAGGACGCGGGAAATGCCGCTTGCCACTTGCACACTTGAAGGCATCGATCGTTGCGCTGTCGCGAATCCAAACTGCGAACTTCGACTTCAAGTTGAAGTTGGCATGTCATCCGTTGATTGGTGGAATGAATCTGATAAATCAGATTCCAGCGAATCCGCGACGAGTTGGGTTGATTACCCACCAAGCGTCACGGCTATTGTTGGCAGCACATTGACATTTGAGTCTCAAGGACTCAAAATGATTTCAGGGGCACGAGCTTTCGCCTCCAGAAGCCGCGACGTGTGAACGTGCCAAATGTAGTGTTTTCTACGTACATTATCGATTAGTACCAAATCTAGTGTTTTCTACATACATAATCAATTGTTGTGACCCGCTAAAAGTGTAAGTATGTCCAGATTATTCAAGATCCCAAACTCAATTGAGAAATTAGGCGCTCAAGGTATTCACCGAACCAACTGTCGAACTTCGAAGGCTCGAGAGAAAAGCTATGTCAGACGAAGGGTCATACATATTTACAGACTGATCGAGTTGGCCCCATGTCCGATGTGAGCTATGGCTTCTTCCCCACGGGCAAAGAACTGTTCTCGGGCGTGAAGTGGATCAAGGAGCATCCTGTGGTGGCCACCGCCGCGGCCGTGGGGGCTACCGCGATTAGCATTGTCACTTACTTCCGGGCAACAACGCCCATGACTTCGTATGACCACCAAACGCCCAAGGGAACACTCAATGTGAGGGAGCGCGTGGTCAGTTGGTGTGACGTGCATGTCAAGACAGACGATTCACGCCCCCAAGAGTCGACCAAAGACTCCCGCAGCCACCATAAACACGAAGGCGAGGGAGACCGCACAACCGACGACGACGAGGACGATCTACTCGACGAGTTGCAAACCCTCGCCATCAAGGCACCCGTTCCACGTGAGGCAGGGTGGGACGATGACCCTAATGCTGGAAACGTCTCGAAACAGGACTTGCACAATGCATCGCCACAGTGGGGATGGTACGTTGCTATCACCCCCCCCACCGACGGCACTCCAGGAACTGGTTTGCCTCGAGCTATTGCCGACCCCCTTCAGGGATCAATCGCGACGTCGGCGTCCTTGATGGGACTCAAGCGAACGCAATCGGCAAGGCTGCGGTAACAATGTTAAATAGTAGAGTTCACTAGTTCTGTCAATGGGGTTACAGCGCGAACGACGTGTCGTCGCTTGACACGCCTGCTGCGACGTTACGTTGCATAGTGTCCAATCCAGCAGCGAGGGCGTTCACTTGCTCGTGGATGGATGTTATGGACACTCGAAGGCGGTGACATTCGTCCTTTTGCGTCGATTCCTGGCGTACTTCTTCCAGTTCATTGCGCAGCCGTTGCACTTTGAACTCGACTTGTCGGATTTGATGGCCCAGGCCCTGTGTTACACGACATTGTTCACATGACGACCAAATCCATCACTTTGAAAAAACAAACCACGTCACATATAACCATGTACCTGAACTTGCCCCACAACGTCGTGTGCATTGACCGCATTGGCCACCGACGTCACACACGACCGGAGCACGTCCGCCACCGTGTCGGCCACGGACCGCTCCTCAATGTTCCATGCCATGGTCACGAGCGTGTCTTGCACTTGATGCACGCGTCCAGCTACCTGACTGTGGTCGTCGCGTAGCCCCGTGATGGCGTCGTGACACCGTCGGTCGATCGTGGCCAGTTTCTGTGCAACTTCGTCCAAACTCGCTCGCACAAGGCTTTGGTGCTGCATCCTGGCGTCAAAGCCGGCCGCGGAGATGGCGTCACTCACTTGGCTCGCCTGCCATTCAAAGCCCTGCTGCGTGCTCCATGCCATGTACTCGAGGGTTTGTTTGGCCGACTCGTCCACCACCTGCGCCACGATGTCCGCGACACACTGCTCCACCGCCGTCGCGATGCGTATGCCGTGGAACGTCTGGGTCCACGTCGCGTCCAAGGACTGGATGGTACTGGCCACCCTCGCCCGTACATCTGCAACGGCCGTTTCCAGCGCCAGTAACTGCGCTTGGAATGACTCGCGGTGCACGAGACTCTGCTGCATGGCTTCAACTTGGCCCTTCTCCACGTCGCCATATACGGCCAGCAGCCGCGCGTGCATTTCCGCCACGCCCTTGTCCACATGCGCGTGAACTTGAGCCAGTTGGGCTTGTGTCCTGCTGTCGAGACTCGTCCACCCTTGGCGAAGCAGCTCAAGGCGTTCGTCGATGGATTTCTGCAAATGTTGCACGCTGTGCGCCACGTCCGCCGCCAACCTGCACGACGTCCACACGTTGCCTCCACACATTCTATACCACTGCCATATGCTTCAATCGTGTGCCGTACCGTTGTGTGAATGCTTGGGTTGTCATGTCCAGCGCATTTGTCAGGGCCACCCGAGTGTCTTCTTGCACCGTCTGCAGCTGGTTGGTCACTGACGTCGTTACCTTGGTCATGTTGTCTGCCATTTCCTTCTGCGCCGCTACGATCCCGTTCATCCGCAGTGTCGTGGCGTTCCGTCCACACTCGACGTCTGTCCGCAGACTGTCTAGCACATGCGTGAGCGACTTGGCTAGTCCGTCGATGCGTTTCTTGAGTTTGTCGTCGCGCTTTTGCCTCGCTTTGATCTCCAGCGGCATGATCTCTTCGACGTCTTTCAGCCGACTTTGCACATGCACTGTCACATCTCGTGTAGCGTCGTGGAGGTCAGCCCATTGACTGCGCATGTCGTCGTCGAGTTGCTGGTATGCAGCGCTGCGCGTCGACACTTCGCGAGCCACTTCGTCCGCTAGCGTTCGGAATTTGTGGTCCCAGTCGGCCGAAACACTCTGTACGATACGTTCCAATAAACTATGTACAACCGATTGCTGTGTTTTACCTGCACCAGTTGCCCGAGGGCTTTGGTTTCGCCGTGAATCAGCTGCTCTAGCCCCACGAGGTGGTCGGCTACCCGCTTGGTGTCTTGCACCATATGCGCCATGCGCTTGGATTCAATTGACATGCCCGCATCCCGCTGCTCTTCCACGACCCGCAGCAGCTCGGACTTGTCCATCGCTACGCGGTTGCTCAGGCGCTCCAGCTGGCTCTGCAGCCGCATCTCGACTTCGGTCCACGCCGCCATGTCGGCTTTGCCGTGCACGGCAGTTTGAACTTTGTCCAAGTCCATCTGGTAGCAGTTCTCAGTAGAATGTTCAAGGCCAACATGGTTAGCCTTGAGAAGGACGACACTGTACCTTCCACCGTTCATTTTTGTCGGCTTCCATGTCCGTCTTGACCTGCAAGATCGTACTTCGCATCGACGCCACGACCGACCGCAACTCTTCAATTGATTGGCTGTGGTCCCGAACCAGAACCTATAAACCACTCAGCTAACCAACCTTCCTTGACTAGTGAATGGAGCATATATATATATATATTAATACTCTCCCAAGACATTTACCTCGTGCGAATGCTGTTGCTGTTGAGACATCGACTGGTCCGCCGACTTAGCTTGGGCTACTTGCTGTAGCCGCTGGTCCAGCGCAGTGTGTTGCTGTTGCATGTGCAGTTCGACCGACTCAACTTGCTTGCCCAACCGCACAACCTGCCACGTAATCCCAGAGGTTTCAACGACTACATACAGTACGTACTACATAGTAGTTGGGACCAACCTCGCCAAACAATAAAGCTGCCTTTTGCTTTTCCGTGTCGTAAAAGGCGGCGTCCGATTGCACTTTGGCTGCCAAGGCCAACTGCACTTTGTCTAGTTCTTGGCGAACTACTTCCTCCCTGATGAAATCTCGTCAATGGTACTTTGACGTACGTGACGCCAGCGTCGACGTTGTCTCATTTTCTCGCGCATGCATGTTGTTGGAAAGCAGGGATCGTACGTGGCGCATTTCCCCTCGGAAGCGCTCGTTCTCGTTCTCGAGCGCACAAATCCGATCGAAGTACTCGTCGGCAAGCGTCCGTTCAGCTTCGCCATTGTGGTGGAGTTGCGTCTTGTCGCCCTTGGAAGGAGGAGCACCCCCCCGATGAATCGCTGGCAGTATCGTGCTCATCCAGCTGGTTTGGAAACGATGGTTTCATAATGCGAAACTGCCGTTTTATTTCATTCTACAGTACTAGTAGGACATTACTACTGTAGGGTACTAGTACTGTATTGTAGCAATGGGCAACAATGTTTCGTTGGTACCAGACGTAGGAACATGTGCATGTTACTAGTAGTTATTCAACAGCCCATGCTGACCTGGAGATCCCATGATAGTGCAACGAGACCAAACCACGACAATCGTAGGCATGTATAACGCTTCCGCGTGGTTAATGCTATTTGCCTAAGTACTCATCGGGGAAGGGGCGGGGGTGGGGCCTAATATAACCATAGCGGGGCAACATAAGTACTTAACGTGAGGGGTCGTATACAGTAGTATCGTGCATGTCGTACATATTGTTGAGGGGGGGTGCCTTCTTTTCGCCCCCCGTCGTGATGGTGGCCCCCATATGGAATTTGATGTTGTTGGGGAATTTGGTAGTATGGCGCGGCGGCCGCTGGAGGGTACCCGCCTCCATATTGAGGCTGGTATTGGAGGGGATGCATCCCTCCTTGCATCATCATGGGGACAGCGCCGTACTGGTTTAAGTACGGGTCTTCTTGGTCGTACACGATCTCGTTGCCCCATTCGTCAAAGTACTGGGGGGCTGCAGCGTACAGATGATGTTGGGGATGCTGTTGCTGCTGATGGTGGTGTTGGTGGTGGGGATGCGGCGGCGGCGGTGCCACGACAGGGACAGTAAAACTCGGCACAAACGCCGACGCGGACGCACTCAGCTTGAACTCCTTGGCCTTGGGGTTCAACCCCTTCTTCACAACTGGCTGGGCTTCCGTCTGCTTAGCGTTGGCTGGCGACGCAGCCTTTGGCGTCGAAACCTTTACCTTGTCCTCCTAGAAGCATGCAGGCACTACGTTGAGCCTTACGTTGGGAGGGCATGTCGTCCACTAGATGTACCGCTGGAACTTGGAGAAGAGGTGGTTTCGTCGGGGAAGCCGGCTTGATGTTGTCAGGTGACACGACGGGGGCCGGCTTTGACGACTTGGGGGAAGGTGGTTGCTGCTTTGCGTCTTCGGCCTTGCGCAGTGCAGGGGGGACATAGGCGTTGGCGCCTCGAGCCATCGACGCATCTACGGGGTGGGAGATGCTTAGCAACTTGCTCCCAATCTCAAGCAACGATGTACGCTGTTTTTCGATGGACTTTGGCGGGCGGACGACGGAGCTGTACCGCGCCTCTTCGTCGATCGAGTCTTGCGTGTACTTGCCGCGTTCTTCCGACACGTGGTGGTTCTGGGACGTTTGGGATTCGATTTCCCGAGCCAGTTTCTCCGCGGCCTTCGACTGCTCGAATGAAATCTTGGACTTGTCCAGCTTGGTCGTGTACAGGTTCTCGTCGTACGTGTTCTTGACCCCAAACAGCTTGGAATTGACTTCGAATTGGTTCCACGATGTCTACGGGTGTTGTCGCTTGACGATATATGCTCGGGGGTGGGTTGGGAAGCCGTACCTTGCCGCCACGGCTGGCGTCGAGGTCGCCACTGTCCAACGACGGGTCGAGCCACGACGACGCCGTCTGGAGCTCCCGACCATACAAATGAGCATGGCTATTGTTCGTGATGTCGCCGTCAGTTTGAAACGACGAATGCTGCCCCGGATGGAGAGGCTTGCCATGGGCTCCATCGACGCTGCTGCTGCTGTCGTCCTTGGGATGCCCGTTCGTGGCAATGTGCGCGAGGAGGTACTGCTGGATGACAAACGTGCTTCCCGTCTCGAAGGGTTCGTTACCTGGGGTCAGGCGCTGCGTGTTTTTCAAGACGACGGTGAAGTCGTCTGGATCGATGCAGTCCAACACCCCCGTGTACTTGCTCTGGTCCTTCAACGTCACTTCCACAGACCGACCCATGTAGAACAAGAATGTGTACAGGGCACGATGGCGCAGCAATCGCGTAGTGCCGCTGTCGATTTCGGCCGCCTTGTTTTTGGGCGACACTGAGGTAGGACCAGCGAAACCTGGAGGTGTCGTTTTTCCTGCTGGGGACAGCGACGGCGCCGCTTCCTTCTTCCCCGTGGGGGTGCTACGATAACGTCAGTGCTTCACAATCACTCCTTCTAGCATCATATCTACAAACCTAGCCTTCTTCTTGCCCTTCACCGGTGCCGCGGCGCCGCGGCGGGACGTGTCTTGCGAGTTCATCATGAGGATGCCTGTGGGATCACAAACTAATGGCGCAGTCCTACTATACGTGTACTACCAGAAGGATATTTTTCGTATTTCTAGTGGAAAAGTTAATCTTCACTTGATATTTAAAAATATCAAGTGAAGATTGACAGGTTATTTTGAATACTGGAAATAAGTTTTGCATCGAAATATTTAAAAATATTTCCATGAAAAACTTATTTCCAGTATTCAAAATAACCTGTCGAATATAATACTACATGGAATGTCACAGGGAAGTCATAAATGTTGGTACGAGGGCATCATTGGCCACTGGAACTTCAATCACGCACAAACATCATGGAGCAAGTGGCCAAGCGCCTGCAGGAAGCGACGCTTCTCCAGCGGAAGCGCGATGAGCTGAACGAACTCAAGGCCAAGCGCATTGAGAAGTCGAAGGGACCAGCGACGTCCTTTAGCGGAAAGCAGAAGAAGGTGCAAATGCGCGAGAAAAAGGCGCGCATCCAGCAACGTCGCGACGACATCAAAGCGTTTGCAAACGAGCCGTTCTTTGTGGAAGGGTCTGAAGAACCCATCGACTTTAACACGCTCAAAGGCATCCGCACGTCGACGTTGAAGCTGTCGGCGTCGCTCGGTCGACAGACCAAGGACTTGGTCGACAAGGAAGTGTCGTCGTTCTTTGTGAAAGAAACCAAGGAGCAAGTGCAGCTGCGCATCATGGAAGGCCAGTACCCCATCGATATGTCGCACCGCAAGAAGCCCTTGCTGTGGAAGGAACTGACGCGTGACCCGCTGTTGGACTTTCCCCAGCGTCCATCGTGGAACTACAAACAATCCAAGGAAAAACGTACGTGAGGACTATGACCCCGAAAGTATTTTATATTTTTTTGGAATTTTACTCAAAAAATATATATTCCTCTGGCGGTTGGTTGAATGAACAATCAATGCAGGACCTTCGAGATTTCATATAAAACGAGCTGCAAGACTGCAATCAATATTTTTAGCCAATCAAATTGCAACCTTCATTCTTTGTAGCCAATCATACTCCTTTGCTCGATTAGTTGTTGGCGATTTCATCAATAATCCCCCAAAATATGGCAAACTTGACTGAAAAGCATAATATTATTTCTGTCAACAGAACCACTCATGTTTTTGCTTCTAGTGCACGAGAATGAAAGCATTATGTTTGACGACTGGTTGGCCAACATCCACGACAAATATGACGTCGACGAGCTCAATCATTTCGAGCATAATTTGGAAGTGTGGCGCGAACTGTGGCGCGTGTTGGAGCGGTCGTCGCACGTACGTTCATACACAAACTAGTATTTTGTGCCTTTTCACCCAAATATTGGACTTGTGAGTAGTCATTTCGCCAAATTACTTTGTACAAACTGTACAAAATGTAGTATATACCTGATTTGCCCGATGTGGAGGACTGCCTGGGCTGAAGTTTGGATTGGCAGAAATTCGACAGAACGTGATTTGTGATGATTGGCTTTGTACTTATATTCATTTGCTCTTAAGGCATTCGATTCTGCTGAGAGCTCCAGTTTCGAATCGATTTGACAATATATATATATATATATTGTCAAATCGATTCGAAACTCGAGCTCTCAGCAGAATATATATATATATATATATATATATATATATATATATATATATATACATATATTATTGATATAAATTTTCGGACCGCGCTCCATCGAATCGCGCTGACAAACCGATCACAAATCGCTCCCATTGGCCAATCTGAAAATGCTTGTCTCTGATTGGCTCCATTATTTTATGTTTTTACGTCGTGATTTTTTCTGCGGAATCAGGCAAATCAAGGAAAGTTCGATTTGTGATTGGTTTTACAAATCATGTGAATTCGGATTTTTATAGCATATTCAAAGTATTTACATGTATTTTGACAAATATTAGATTGTGATTGTGGCCGACATTCGAAACCCGCTGCTGCACATTCCGCCGTCCGTGTACGACTACGTCACCGAACGCATTCAAAAGCCACTGATCATCGTCCTCAACAAGATCGACCTCATTCCACTCGACTTGGCGCTGGCGTGGCGCGCGTCCCTGACCAAACGGTTCCCAAAGGCCACGCTCTTGTACTTTTCCAGCCGATCGAAATCGATCCAGCACCAAACCGACCTCAACGGTCGTCGCAAAGTGCTCAGGTATATATATATTTATTCGAACTGTGGTTTTTACATTTATATAAATTGACGTTTGGTTGTCATGGTGATGGACTAGTGAAAAGCTGAAAATTGGCGACTTGTCGGCGGTTCAAGGCGCCCAAAGCATCCTCATTGCTTGTGGGATTGACCCCGAAGCTGCAAGTGTCATCATCCACAGCGTGTTGCAAGCAGATGACGAAAAAGGTGACGAAAACGGTGACGAAAATGGTGACGAAGACGGTGACAACGCCGACGTGGCTCACCCGACAACCACCCCCGCGACCAAAAAAAGTCGGCGGAAAAACAAAGAAAAAGTCAAACTCCAGCTGGCCGAAGCGCGCGAACTCCGCGACGTGTGCGACTACTGCGGCGACGACGCGCCCGTGGTGAGCTGCCAGACATGCGCCACGTCCTTCCGCGACCTCCGGCTCTGCGGCCGTTGTAACCGCGACATCCACAAGAATCAGCGCCACAAAGTCGTGCCGTTGGAAGGCTGCGTCGAGGCCGCGGCGGCGGCGGCAGCCGAAGCCGACGAGCTGAAGCGACTGACCATCACGATCGGGCTCATCGGTCACCCGAACGTGGGCAAGTCGAGCGTGCTCAACGCGCTCGCGGGCAAGAAACTTGTCAGTGTGTCCCATACCCCGGGGCACACGAAACGCCTCCAGAGCATCTTCATCGCGCCGCACATTTGCATTTGCGATTGCCCCGGGCTTGTGTTTCCCTTTGCCGGCGTCCCCAAGCACATGCAAGAGCTCGGCGGGTTGTTTCCGTATTCCCAGGTACTACTTTACTACTACTAGTACGCTAGCGATCATACTAGTCGTGTACTAGCTAGCGAGCGATACGACTAGGACTGTTCTTAGTTGTGGCGATGACGAAGCTTGTCCTATAATGTGATTTGTTTGCCACTTGTAGACCCGTGAACCGTTTTCAGCCGTCCGATTCTTAGCCGAACACGCGCCGTTGGAATCGATTTTAAACCTGGCAGTACGCACGCAAGAGTTTGACGGGTACTTGGAGCCCCTGGTACCGTTGTCCATTTGATTGCGAACTGTCAACAGAATAAATAGGCGCTGATTTCTGGCGCAATATTGCACACACATATTGTGTAGGAATGGTCCTCGTGGACGTTGTGCGAGGCGTACGCAGAGAAGAAAGGGTACAAAACCGAGCGGCGGGGCCGACCAGACCACCACCGCGCCGGCGCCGAGCTGATTCGAGATTGCATGGACGGAGTGCTTCCGCTGTACTTTTACCCCCCAGACTACACGGGCCCGTACTTGGACGGCACGCAAAACGCATCCTACTGCGGTGACGACGCCGTGCACAAGTTGAACCACTTGGACAAAAACGTAGCCAATGCTCCGCCCACGAACTGCGACGACACTGATGACGAAAGCGATGACGATAATGGGGACGTTGACAACGCCAAACAAAGCGGCGGCCACACGAGTGCGTGGAACCTCTTGAACGATGACTCGAGCGACGAAGAAAGCAGCGACGACGAGTAGTCTCGCTTATCTTGTTAGGGATAGTAGTGCTAGGCAGGTATCGATGTTGTCTTAGCAAGAAGATAATATCGTTGTCGTTTATCGTCGCGAGTGTTTGGGCTGCTTGACGTGGCGCACGAGTAGTGGCTTGCCGCTGAGGACGATGTCGAGGCTCTTGGCTTCGAGTTTGGCGGCTTTGCCCGAGTCGAGCCAAAACGTGGTGCGCTGGATTTTGATCGAGTACATGCCGTTCGAGTCTTTGGAGACCACCTTGACGTCTGGTTGCAATGGATCATCACATGTTACATGAATATGATGAATGAATGGTCAGGTCACTAGCTTTACGGTACCCCGAGGAAGCACTTGAAAGGACTTGGGCGCGAACACGCCGTCCACGGTGATCTTTAAGAACTCATCTACATGTGGTTCATTCGAGTGAATCGTCGTCAGGCTTGAACGAGGCCATTCTACAGCGAGGACACACCTCGTTGGCCGATGGTTCGACATACTGCCACCGTTGAAATCACACGCTCGCACAGGTACTTGGTGCCGTAGAACAAGAACGCTGCAACTCCAATGTTAGATCTCGACTGTTGTAAAAACTATTCAGCGTACCAGATGCACTCACCAATGGCCCTGCGGACGCAAAGATCTATTGCATGAGAGGCACATGGTGGGTGCTAGCCATGGTAATATCTGGGCATACCTCAAGATTGGTCGCGCCTTCGGGCAACGTGAACAAGATTTGAGCCGTGAAGGCCGCCGCGGCATACACTTGCACGGCCGCCCCCTTGCCAGCATACCAAGGCCACTTGGAATTGGATTGAAACACAACCGATTCGTTGGTCCGGGACGTCACGTGGTTGCTCGACGAGTCCACGCCGCCACTGAAGCCAAACAGTCAGCACAAGCGTCAAGTAGGTAGACACGCATCATAGAAGCGCAAGCATACCCAATGAACTGAGAGAAGGATCTCGCCCCCGCAGGAGTTGCCGCCTTGGACAGCACGCCGCCGACGCGCACGACTCGCAACAAGGACATTTCAAACCTGCTGTTGATTGGTGGAGATAACAATTCGAACTTCGCCTACTTCGACACTTCGATAAATGTGTAGGTTTTATGTGTAATCTTATTGGCATGACACTGTGAATCCAACGATGGCGACACCGGACGGCCGCACAGCGCGTCATTGGCGTCACCTTCAGGCCCAACGGGTAGGACTAGTACGATGAATCGACGTTGAACTCTGGCTCGTGCTTAGCGACAGGCAGAGTCCAACTGCAGCATCGCGCAGGACACGCCAACGATTCTAACCATGTGGGCTGAACGCCTTCGTCACCTCGATGCGCTTCAGGGTATTCTCCCCGAGTCACAACAACCCTCGTCTGAAGCGCCGCCGAAGGAGTCTCTCCAGCCCAACATATACGTCCTTGTGCATGGAAACAACAGCACACCTGCCGATTTCGACAAACTTGCGCGTTGCTTGTACCGGTCCCATGCTCCAGACGAGTGCGTTGTGCTGCAAAGTGCAGGCAACAAAGGCTACCTAACGAGACGCGGCATTGCTGTCTGCGGAACTGTTTTGGCCATCGAAGTGTTGGACTTTCTCCTCCGCTACGATGTAGATCCAACCCAGCCGCGGCAGTTGAGCATTGTCGGCCACTCGTTTGGTGGACTCATCGCGCGATACAGCTTGGTGCTGCTGCAGCACATTCTATCCGCGCTTTGCATTACTCCTGTGTCCTTTGCCACGCTGTGTACGCCGCACTTGGGCTCTCGAAGGCCTGGTGGGGGCATGTGGAAGGTTTATTCGTCCGCCACATCGGTCGACTTGACTGTGCATTTATGTAATAGCGGGTGGTGCAGCAGGTGGTGCATGGCGTCTTATCCATTGACACATTATATGGCCAAACTGGACGGGATCTGCTTCTGGAGGGTACGATAAAACGCCCTGCCTCTTGAGTCCTCCTCGGTCAAAGCAAACACTCTAGGCGAACCATACTCGGTGCTTGAACGGATGAGTCACCCCGGTACAGACTAGACTTTTGTGTGTGTTTAATGACTCTGGACAGACTCACTGTTCGTGGTGGCATTGAAGCGCTTCCGCCACCGCACTCTGGTCGGGTTGATCCACGGAGACCACTTGGTCCCGCATGCGTCGTCCTGCCTCACGACGGTGGTGCCAGAGGTTCCTCGCGTCGAGCCAGCGCAAAGTTGGCAGTGGACGCTGGTGCATTCTGGCATCGACAAGGGCGACGCGACCCTTGGGGGGTTCGCACAGGTCAACCTCGTGGAGATGGAAGCCAGCTCGACGAGGCAGTTTACAGCCGACTGCGTCGAATTCGATGTCCAGTACGTATGCCAAACGTCGTGTGGGGTAGGATAACGTGGCTGCCGTAGCCAACGAGCGGCGATCAACCGCCGCCTCCTGAGCGTGTCCCACCTCATGACGTGGCGGCGGCTGCACGTCCGACTTGACTGCAGCAAAGTGCACTGGAAAAAAGCACATGATTGGCCCATCGGACGGAACCAGCCCCCCGACAGTCGAAGCCTCGAGTTCCTTCAAGTGTTTGCCTCGATGCTCGTCCGTGACCATTTAGGCCCCACCGGAATTAACTGAAATGTCAATCTTTTGCCAGTTGAAATGTTAAAGTTAGACGTGGGGGGGGTCCATTCGTGGTGAATGGAGTTTGAGTTCGTGGGCGAAGACGGGGTTGTATCTTAATCAAGTCGAGCCGTCCATAAGTGTCATTTCACATCTATGGTGACTACGCAAAATATATGAACACATTAGGCAGTATAGTGTTGTGTTCGTGTTGTTACTTCGTAACCAGTGAATGTTGTTGGTCATACCCTGACTATTACTAGTAGAATACGCTGGTGTCGATAGGCATAAGACTAGATGAGCCCAAGCCATTCTCGTCGAGTTCCACAGATTAACCACGAGCAAAATACCATCACATGACATTATTGGTGTCACCTTCAGTAAAAAAGTTAGTCCACCGGCCACGAGGTTTGATCTTATTTCCAAGTGTAGTGAATGTACCGGGGTCGAATAGCTAACCAGGGCTAATCAGTGTTGCTAAGAGTCTACATACCCCCACAATGCAGAGAGTCTACCCCCTACAGTTGCTACTCCTCACAGTTCCAAGTCGTGCAAAAGCGATAGTCGAGAACAGTCGACGACATGTGGATGGGATATCCCCGATCTACAGATCATCATGTCTTTGAGTTTCTCTAGGAACATAATAAAGGCCACGGCATCAGCGACGAGGTCAAGGCAGTATGTCAAGTAGGTGGACAGTGTGGAGACGGTCGTGGCGGTGCCAAGTGGATCGCAGAGGAGCCCGAAACAGAACGGAACGCTAAACCCAATGTACAACAGCTGCAGGGCCTCGAGTACCAACATCAACTCTTGGGATATCCATCGATCAACCACGGGGTGGATGGCAATGAGGGTCACTAGGATAATCAGCTTGGGGTGGATCCTCTGTCGGGAGTTGGGGACCTGTCACGGCAGCAGTCGTGAGCTGTGTCTTGACTGGACCAAACGACGAAGGGGGCGTCGGTCGGGTGTGAACGGGAATGCGCATTAGTGGAGCTGGGGTGGTCGCTGCTGGCGGGGCAGGGGCGACAAGCAGGATTGGGGACTTTTGCAAGTGGTCGCTGCTGCCTGTCACGACCCCATCGGGGGTCAATTTGAGGTGGTTAAAACCTGCAGACGACCCCCTCCTTGATTCGGACGGACGGTGCTTGATCATGGACGACCGTGTGGGACTGTGTTGCCCATCGGGGGACATCTGCATCTTGAATGGTCGACAGGGTAGACGCAAAGTGGGACTGCCGCCGCCCTTTGGCTCCATTATTACGGTCCGGCACGATTTGGCTCATCGTCGAGGTGCATATGATGGAGGCACGTAGAGGTCGCGCAGGGTTGATAATATGGTTGTAGCTGGGGCACGGTTACACCCAAAGGGCAAACTGTAATGGTAGTTTCAAGTGTAACGGCAATAAAGTACAGGAGTGGAGTGTGGGGATTTTGCAACGGCACTACAAGACTGGGGTGTAGTGCATACTCCTAGTAGTAGAAAGTAATAAAGTTGATTGCAACACCAAAAATGGCTCAGGTCAAATGATGTCGATTAGGTACTCAATGGAATTTGGTGCTTCCGTTGTGCTGGATAATGTTTCGCCGAGGGGGGATGTACATCTTTTGAATCGGGTCTTCGTCCCGCACACACCACTGCTTGTAGCACCGGTCAAAGTACTCTGGGAATCGGTCGACCAACTTGTCAAAGTCGTCATGGTACAGCAGAAACATGGTGCATTCGACGTTTGCGATGGCGGTGACCGTGCGCCCGACATCTTCAAAGAGCGCAACCCCGCCAAAGAATTCGTTGTGGTTTCGAGTTTGCACGCCAGTTGTAGCCGACACGAGGGACACCGACCCGACGTCGACAAAGTACAGCGTCCGCCCCACATCGCCAAACTACGCATCGTCCACCATCATGACGCCACCATTCCTTTCGACGACAAATCGATTAAAAAACGAGTACGAACCTGGTAGATCACATCGGCGTGAATAAACTGTTCTGTGCGCAACTTGGTCACCAGCGCCCGGACAAACACTTCTTCGCATTCGAGCAGAAACCTCAAGTTCTTGACCACGTTTTGCTTGACAAACATGGCAATGTCTTCACGAATCGTGGTGCTGAGCACGCTCAAAAAGTCGTCTTCGGTGCGGCCCATGTGATTTTGCCACTGCAGGCGACTGAACCGCGACGTTTGGATGAAGAAATCAAACGGGAGCAGCCGGTAGTTGAAGAACGTGCTCACGTCCACCATATGCTGCTCAAAACTTGCGCGGGGGTGGAGCTTGTCTTGCATCATTTCTGCGAGCATACCCACGAGTACCCCGTAAAATGTAATGGAGAACAGAATGATGCCCAGGGTGAGCCACGTCTCGACAGCGTTGCGGCTGAAGACGTCGCCAAACGACTGCGAGCTCAGCGACGACACGGCATAGTAGAGCGACGCCAGGTATACGTTCATGCTGGTGAATTTCGTGGATTCGGAAAACCCGAGGGGGATGTCGTCGGTCGATGTCATGGTCATGTTGAGCGGGAGGTACCCCATCGTGACAAGCCATGACGGCGTGTCGCCATCCGATCGCGATGCGAACGACACATAAAACCACAAACATGCAATCCAATGACACACAATGAAGAATGGCGCGACGAATGTCATCATGTACTCGAACGCCGTGCGATTCGCCATAAACCACTTGCGGCGAGAGAGCACGTGTTCCAGCGAGTGCGTGAGCCGGGGGAGGTGCACGAGCCGCAGAATCCGGTTCAACCGACACAACGACACGAGCTTCCACGAGTTTGTATGCGAAAACAACCCGATAGCGAAAATCTCCACGGGCACCAGCGCCACGATGTCGGAAATTAGTGGACCGTGGACGCGATAATGGCGTCGTAACACTGCGGGTAGTGTCTGCATCTCACCTTTGGCAAACACGTAAAACACTTGGAAGCGAAGGACAAAGTCCACCACGCTCAGCACGTCCAGGACGTATTCGGCTGCAATCCATATGACGATCCAGTATGGCGCCGGCTGTGGAAACTCGACAAAACACGCCCGAAACGGCACCATGGTTACGTAGTACGTTGTCACAGCGAGCATGATCACGTCCCACACGTTTCGAAAGAGCGAGTGCGGCATCCACGACGGTTGTTGGGGGGGGCCGGGGTGCCAGATCGTCGCGCGGGGGGTGGGGGCGAACTGGGACAAAAGGGGCCCCTTCCGTGCCCCGGATCGCGACACTTCCCGAATGTATTCAAAGTAGTTTGGCACCGAGTCACGGCGACCGGCGATCGTGTGCTTGTCGCTCAGTGACGCGCGTTTCTTCACCCCGAGCATGGACGTCAACTTGATCGACGCTTGGCCTGTCACACCGAAATTGCCCTTCAGCGCCGTCGTAACGCGCTCCATGAGTTGGTCTTCCTTTTCAACCGCCATGGCCATCTTGACTTTGAAGTTGAGGCTGACCTAACCCGCACAAACATAAACCACACAACAAACACATGGCGCGTGATCGACATACTTCGCTGGACCAGGCGGAGGTCCAATCGGCCTTGGTCAGACATAGCACTTCGCAGCACTTGACCGCGCGGACGCCGTGGGAATGGCGCTTGGCGAGGAAGAACGCGACTTCGCCAAACGAAGAGCCCTCGTACACTGGCGCGACGATCAACTGAAACGTGCGGAGATGCTTTTCCCCGAGCCCTTGCTTCATAATGTACAGGGCGTTGCCGACATCGCCCTCCATGATGATGTCGTCGCCGGGGAGGTACAACTTCGAATGCAGTCGCTCGGCCACGGCATTCAGTTGCGCTAAAGTATTGTCGATGACAACGACGCGTAAGCCATTGAATCAATGGGGAGGGGGGGTACAGTATCCGAGGCATTGCATTTACCTGGCGTAAGCATGGAAAAGATAGGGATGGGGGCCAGTAGGTTTGCGTACAAATCTTTAAACAACTCGAGTCGCAAGCACTGCGGCAGGTCGCGAAAGATCTCGTGGGCGTCCATGCCCTTGTTGCAGTCCAGTTGAAACTGAAAAAACAGTTTGGCCCGGCGCACCATGAACCCCGGCAACTTTTTCATTTTCGCGTAAAACGCAAAGTTTTGCAGCTGCATCTCCACCTCTCGAATTTCCTACCAAAATAGCATCGTTGCATGAAATATTGAATGGCCAATAGACGTAAGGCAACGACAATGATATATATATATATATATCTGTACCTTGTTGGCGTTGAAGATGGCGGTGCAAACTTGACCAATGATGACCCCGATAAACACTACTCCAGACAACGCGACCACACAAAACCACAGGGTTTCCCCTGCCTTGGACACGTGGATGTCCATGTAGTCAAACGAACTCAGCTATACGGGGTATCAGATATCTCATTTTGATGATGCCGGTTAAAGATGATATATATCATTTTTCCGTACCACGCCCAAGCCCCAGTAAAACGCGCGCAAATACGTGGCGCCAATGCTGCCATGGAACTGTTCGATCACAAAGTCGTGGCTGTACCAACTCGGTACGTCGTCTGTCACGTCACTCGCGCCATCGCCGTGCTGGTCGCCGTGTTCAGCGTGCGAAATCAAGAACAGCCCCATCGCGGCCAAGTGGGAGGCTAAGACCAGCGTCAAGAACAACTTGACGAATTCCAGTCCCTCGGTCACCGCCGCCGACGCCGTCTGTTCCTGCACAAATGTGTGGAACGACCGCAAGTATTTCGACAGTTGCGAGGATCGCAACAGGCGCGGCAGTCGGCACAGCGTCATGACTTGGTAGTTGCCGACGTAGTACAAGGGCAAACTGGCGCAGGCTTCAATTTTGAACGGTTGGCCGTGGACGTAGTTGGACCGAATCAGAGCCAGCGACACCACCTACAAGAGAGTAGTGACGTGGCAGCACGAGTGAGAAGAGCACGGACCTCGTCGCCGTTCTTGTCGATGATGATCAAGTGGTTGTACTTGATGTACATGTCGACAAGAAAGATCACGTCACAGGCAATATCGACGATGGTAAACCCCAACATGACCTTGTCGGGGGGCGCCGGAAGCAGCGCAATGCGGAACGGAATTTGAATCAAATTGTAAATCATGACCACCGACAAGAGCAGTTCCCACCACCGATACAAGGTCGAATCAGGTCGTACGAGCAACGCGTCGGGTCGTGGCTCAATGTACAACGTGGCCGAGTGATTCAACGTCCGGTAAATCTATGCACGGTACAAATGATATACTAGTATATAGCATTCGCGACAAGTACTCAATCATGTATTAATATATCATTCCACAAATAACCCCAAGTACTCAATGATATATATCATTTCAGGCACAAGTACGTTGGGTTTTTGGAGGTTTCGGTCAAGTGCATTGAGCGTTAGGGACAGTTGTCGCTCCAGATCCATTGCAAGAGTCTCCACCGTGGGCCACAAGTGTTGAAAGTGATACGCAATCGAGGCAAAGTCCTGTCGACTGAGCACGCTCACGTCGGCCGACTCGCTGACGACGCGAATGCCGACATCGTGCGTTCGTTTCAGCACAAACGCGGCCTCCCCGATGCAGCTGCCCGGGTACAGCAGCTGCACGGGCACCGTCATGTCTTTCACCTGCAGGAGGCCCTCCATCACCCCCCGCATCAAAATGTAAATGTCGTCGCACGTGTCTCCGTTTCGGACGACAAACTCGAGGCGGTTATACGACTGGTGCTTCATGATGGCGTAGATGAACCGGAGCCCGTCGACGTCGATGGCTTTGAACAGCTTGAGGTGCCCCACGGACGCTTCGTGCAAGAAGGACTGGATTTCCTGGCGCAAGTTGTCGGGCAGCGGCTGCAGCACGCTCAACGCGTGTTGTTCCGACGTCTGCGACCAGTGGGTCTTGTAGTACGTGCTCACGTTGTGACGGACGTTACGCGATACCCCTAGATTGCCATTGTCACATAATATTCACAGTACACTCGCCATGGAATTGTACACAAATAACGCGACATCGTAATAGTTAAGGAGAATATAAGCATCTCGTAAATATATCCCACCAATTACCCCAAACAAGGAGGTATGAGTAAGTCGTGTCGAATATGCATGACATGAATGCACACGAACAACACGAGAATGTCGCTATCTACCGGTAGTATCCAAGTTGATTGTACATTCGGAGGATGTAAGCATGTAGCCATGGACAACGATAGGTACTACTCCAAAAATGATATTTATAGATAGATATATACAGTTAGTACCTTCAATAGTCATGAACCGATGAGCCATGGTCACTTGTTCCTGCTTCTTGCTCGCAGCCGAATTGATTCGTGTGACAGCGTTCACGAGCGCCCCCACTGCGCCATAATTGGCCACGATGCTCAAGTACAAAAACACAAACATGTACACACACTCTGCGTCGGTGAACGGAAAAATCGACCCAAATTGAACGGTCACAAGCGACACGACGCTCCAATAGAACGACCGGATGTAATCGGACGGGTGGCCGAAATGGTCGTGGTCAAAGTCGAGCCACGTGCAGTTTTGATGGTCTCGCGCCCACTCGAGGCACGTCTGGACAGTCAGACTGCCGTGGCTGGTGCTGGTTGGAGTCGTACTATCATGATGGGGATCTTGGTGCAGGGCGGCAATCCAGTACCACATGCATCCGCCGACATGACACGCAAATGGCACGCAGATCATCAAGTTGACAATGATGTACGTAGTGTCGTTAACGTGATGTTGCTTCAAAATGGTCGAGAGTGTCGGGAGGAGCCGTCGAATGCGCACGAGGCGAATCCATTCAAACATGCGCAGTGTCACAGGAAAGGTCGAGTCGGCGTCGAACGCGGTCGTGAGGCAGTCCGCGACCATCGTGAACGGGATGATGGAAATCGCGTCGAGAAAGAACCCGTGGTGTTTGTACTGGTGCCAGATGAACCAACTGTCCGTGACCAGCGTACCGCTTTCAAAGTACGCAAACCGGCGGCTCCGTAGCACCAAGTCGACCACAAGGAAGAGGGCGAGGCCGAGGCGACCCAAGAACGCCGGCCACGACGACGTTGAGGCGAAGCAAATGTGCAGCGGAATGTCCACCGCACACACGATCAACGCCACGACCATGCATCGCTCCCAGAACTGCCGAAACTGCGAGTCTGGATGGGTCCACTGCTCGGCATTCGTCGCGTGCTCGACGAATTTCTTGCCCAGGCCCAGCATCGAGTTGGCCCGGATGGGCTTCCGACCGATTCGAGTTGCCTCGGTCACCACGTCGTCCCACTTGACGTCGCCCAGCTGGCTTGCACACGATTCGTACACCTGTTGCACGGACGGCTTGTCGATAATGTACAGATCGCAGATGGTTTCGGCGCGCGCGGAGATGACGTCGGACGACGCCGCCGCCTCCATCATGGACAGTCCAAAGTGCTGTCCGTCCACAATCTAAAAACCAACCAATACAAGTGACATCGACGGGGGGATTCAAGGTTGAGTCGGTTGTGCGTTCGTTCTACTTACGTTTTTCGTGACCGAGCCGTACATGTCCAAGACTGCGATGCGGCCACGGCAGATGAAATAAATAAACTTGCACGTTTCGAGTCGAATGATCCAATCGCCGCGGCCATAGCATTGCCGTTTCATGCACAGCATCAACCGATTCACGGCTTGCATGGGCAATGACCGAAAGATAGGCACCTAGCCAGCCAGGGTCAACGTAGTTAGCCCCATCCTTTTTTCCGTCTCGAGGGTTTACAGTTTTGAGCAGCTTCGCGCGGAGAAGATCCAAGCATTGGGTTTGAATGTGCGACGGCAACGTAGCGATGATCGTGTCTTCGTCAATCCCGCGCTGGGCCGACCAAAAGTGGCCATAAAAGTCCAGGACCTTGGCTTGCAGTTGCTTGGAGACGCGTCGGGCAGTCAAGTACTCCTTGACGCCGTCCACTTGGTCATGGAATTCGTTTTCACGGCGATTCTGGCACTCAAACAAGAACACGTACGCCCCAATGACGCCCCCCGCGATGCAAAATCGCATGAACTGGATGCCAATGCCAATCGCTCGCTCGAGATTCGTCTGGGGCACAGGAAACCCAAACCCCACCACGACCATCGAGTACATGTACGTTCGAAAGATAGACGCGCCTACAATAATCACCACGTCCGTCAGTCCGTTCGTGTATGAGACAACATGGTTGGATACATATATGGTGATAGTGAACTTGGCCAAAACAACTGTGTACCTTGCAGCTGCACTTGATTCGCCCAACAAGACTGGCCATTCACGGTTTGGTCCAAGTTGTACCCGCATTGCAAGTGGGCGACGAGCAAAAAGAAGCAAGTGGCCCAGTGGATACACACGAGGCTGAGGAGGATCACCCCCACTAACAGGGACATGCCGACGTTGTGGAAGCCAGAGAAGAGCTCGTGCTCGGCGAGGAATTGTTTGATGAGCCGAGCAATTTCGGGCACTTTGTGCATGCGCAACAGCTTGGGGACTCGACACAGGATCATGGCGTGGGTATTGCCGACGAAGGCCCAGTCGAACGGCACGAGCGCGAGCCACTCGGCGATGATCTGGTGCCATCGCACGCCCTTATGCTTGTCCCATGTCGAACTGAGCAGGAACTGCGGCAGCATGGACGTTTCTTTGGACAAGAACGTCGAGTTCCGCCGCATGGAATGTTGCCGCGAGACGGCAAACTTGATGAGCGACTGCTGGAATGTAGAGGTGCGGTGGTGTTTCTCTTTGACACTGAAGCTTGGCTCGGAATGGTCGATGGGGACGACGACGTGGGACGTGTCGGAGCGTTTGAGGATGCGAAGGGCGGCGACGAACGCGATCACGTCGAAGAGGGTGTCAATGGCCCACATCACGTACATGACATAGTCGGGAAAGTCCACAGATGACGACGACGTCGTCGTAAAGTACGGGTTGTACATCAACCCTATTCGGAACGGTACACTGAACCCCGTGTAGATAAGCTGCGCCGCTTCGAAGAACAGCAGCACCTCTGACGACACACGCTTCTCCATGCTCGCGTACATGGCGCCAAGCTTGGCCACGAACGAACGTCTCCGTAGTAGGGCGTGGTTGGGCGCCGGCATTGGTAGATTGAATATCGGACCAGTTGGCACTTCGTTCTTGGACGGGCTGCCGTAACTGAGGGTTTGTTTGAACTGCGCATACCCATCAGCGAGGACGCTGATGGACTTCCGCTTCAATCCGCCCACGTCGGCCGCCATGACGGAGATACGAGACGAGATTTTCCGGATTGTAGGCGACCTGCGGCTCTTGAAGCGCATACTTCGTCGGTCGGACGGGGACAGCAACGGTGCGATGCCGTGGACAGGAGTCTTCCCGGAGGATGACCACATGGACGTGTTGGAGAGGTTCTTCTTAGAGCGTTTGGGTAAGATAGCTAGCGGCGGGAGTATCGCCTCCCGTAAACTTTGTTCGGAATTGGACCGAGCTGTCGGTCGAACTCGACGCGCCATCGTGGGATTTCAGCGCGGACGCGAGCAGTTACTGAAATTTCGTCACTGACCCAACCCACTGGCGAGCTATAAATACAGTAACGTTACCACAAGCTCAGCGTTTCTCGCTGTATATCGTTTATGTGTGCATTGGCGCATAACAATATGGCAATAACGTTATGGATATGGACAGCTTGACCAACCCAGCCAGCTCGTGTTTACGCTTTGGGCTAAACTCAAAGTCCCGGTGAAGATTTGTCTTGAGAGTCGACTGTCATTTGCTTTGGTAACGTTATGAGCATTTTGTTGGGGTGTGTGCCTTTCTAGGATACGGAAGTAGCCAATCAGCATTTACAGTCATTGCATTGAATCGTTTGGTCAAAATAGACGATGCTTTACCTATGATAATGCATATTCGACAGAATATTAGGTTTCGAAGGCTGTTGGGGTTGTGCCGTTGGATTTTGGGTGGAGGGAGTTCATTTTTCGATCTTGTGACAAATGTACGGCGGTGGATCTAGCTACGGTGGAGGAGGCGATCGCTACGGCGACTCGTCCTCGCGACGTGATTATGGCGGAAGCAGCAGCAGCTATGGAGGAGGTCGCTCGGGTGGCGATCGCTACGGCGGCGGCGGCGGATTCGGCGGCGGGGGCGGCGGCTTCGGCGGTGGTGGAGGATTTGGTGGCGGGGGGGATTTGGGCTCCAACTTGAACACCAATATCCAATGGGACCTGTCCAAGCTACCTGTGTTCGAGAAGAACTTTTACTATGAGCACCCGGACGTGTCTCGCCGGTCTGATTCGGACACGGAACATTGGCGAGCCAAGCACACCATCAGCGTCAACGGCAAGGGAGTCCCCAAACACGTGGAAACATTTGAAGAAGCGTCCTTTCCTCGTACGTGTGCCATCTTCCATTTTGTTGTTTTTGTGGAATATTCTGACTGTATGCGGTAGAATACGTCTTGGACGAGGTGGTACGCCTTGGATTTGCCGCGCCCACGCCCATCCAGTGCCAAGGTTGGCCCATGGCGTTGTCCGGGCGCGACATGGTCGGTATCTCCGCCACGGGGTCTGGTAAAACGTTGGCATTCTTGCTGCCTGCGATTGTGCACATCAATGCTCAGGTACGTCCTATCATGTCCAGCATTAAACGGCTTGTTGTGCTTGGTGCCCCCCCCCGACATGCCACGTGTTGGGGCGGCGTGCTGTAGATGTGTGTGTGGGTGTAGTGCGTTGAATGTCGACCATTCGACGACAACCACGACGACGACGACGACGCGTGTGTGGTGATCAAGTGCGTTTGCCTGCGTAGGATCATACACGCCTATGATCTCTCATAAACATGCGCAACGCACACGACAGCCAACAACTCAATCCCTTGCCATATTCAAGGCGATTGTTGTTGGCACCCACCACCTCGTCGACTCGTCGACACACGCATCACACGGCCGCCAGCCACGACCTGGAGACGCGCTAACCTCTCGTGCTCGTATCTAGCCTTATCTGCAACCTGGGGACGGTCCCATCGTGCTGGTGATTGCGCCCACTCGCGAACTGGCGGTGCAGATCAAGCAAGAATGCGACAAGTTCGGGTCGAGTTCAAAGATCAAAAACACGTGCGTGTACGGCGGCGTGCCCAAGCGCGGCCAAATTGAAGACTTGTCTCGCGGCGTCGAAATTTGCATTTGGTGCGTCTCTTGTCATCATAAAAACATCTCATGGGATGGCGTAGCACCCCCGGACGGATGATTGACCTGCTCAACATCAACAAGACCAACTTGCGCCGAGTGACGTACCTCGTGCTCGACGAAGCTGACCGCATGCTGGACATGGGGTTTGAGCCTCAATTGCGCAAGATTGTCAGCCAGATCCGTCCCGACCGACAGACGCTCATGTGGTCGGCCACGTGGCCAAAGGAGATTGTGGCGCTGGCGCATGACTTTTTGAACGACTTTATTCAAGTTACGGTCGGGTCGTTGGAGCTCACGGCCAACAAAAATATCACGCAAGTGGTCAAGGTGATGGGCGACATGGACAAGTACGGCGCGCTCACGGACCTCCTGCGCGACGTGTACGACGATGGCCGCATTATCATCTTTTGCGAGACCAAGCGCGGCGCCGACGAGCTGTGCAACAACTTGAAGCGGACGCGGTACGCCACCCGCGCGATCCATGGCAACAAATCCCAGGAAGAGCGCGACTGGGTACTCAAGGAGTTCAAGGAGGGCAAGGCGCAGATCTTGGTGGCGACGGACGTGGCGTCCCGCGGGCTCGACATCAAGGACATTCGGTTTGTGATCAACTTCGATATGCCCAAGAACATTGAAGACTATATCCATCGCATTGGGCGAACGGCCCGCGCTGGCATGAAGGGGACCGCCGTGTCGTACTTTACGCAGGACAACAGCCGCATTGCCCAAGACATGATTCGCATCCTCATGGAAGCGGGACAAGAAGTGCCCCGCGAATTGGAAAGCATGCGCGGCTACGGCGGTGGTGGCGGCGGACGTGGAGGCGGACGTGGAGGCGGACGAGGCGGCGGACGTGGCGGAGGCTTTTCTTCCCGTTGGTAGAGTCGGCTGTCGCGCTTATATATTGGCGACCATGGAAAAGCATGATATACTGGGAGCTCTAGGCAGGGCGACGTAACACACACTAAATACACATTCCATGAGACAACGTACGCACTAGTGTACGCGGCGTCGCATGCAGGTGATACATAGGAATGGGCATGCATATGTACTCCGTTGGGCTACTCGACAACATGATGCTTGTGGTCATAGAAGTACAGTACAGTGTACAGTGTACCGGTCAGTTCGTACAAGTGTCTGTTCAGATTGACGTTGGTCTCTACCGGATAGACGAAGCGTATCCGTATAGATTTCGGTGTACAATGATTTCATTTCACTGTCAGATCTCACCATCAACATCAACATCATCGTTGGCGCGCGTCCGATGGTGTCGAAGAAGAGATTCCAGTTCCAAAAGTCGGCATCGGTTGGGGCGCATGGAGCGTCCTTGGAAGATATACCTATGATGGCTGCGCGGTGGCATTCGTCGTGGGTGTTTGACTGGCCGGGCGTGGACGTCCACCACATCACCAACGGGACCAGCGCGAACTTCTTCACGCGGCGGGCGCTGGCGGACCGCGAGGAGCACAACTTTCTGCCACCGTTAAAGACCATCCACAACCCGAGAAAGCCGTACAAAGACATCATTTACATCCTGCTCAACATGAAGTGGGTGCCATTTGGGGTCGTCTACTCGTTCGTGTACTTTGCCATGTGTGCGCTGTTTGCCGGGCTCTTGATGTCCTGCGGCGACTACCCCGACTTTCGCAGCGACTTTGACCTGAGTTTCCAGACCATGGCGACCATTGGTTTTGGGGTGTTGTATCCGCAATCTCGGTGCAGCAACTACGTGATCATCGCCGAGGCGATCGTGTCGATGCTGCTCACGGCGGCGCTGTCCGGCCTCGTGTTTGCCAAGTTCGCCAAACCAAAGGCCAAGATGGCGTTCTCTGTCGTGTGCTGCGTGCAGCCGTACGGCAAGGACAAGCTCGCGCTCGTGTTTCGCGTCGCCAACGCCACCCGCAGCACGGACGTGACCCGCGACGTCGTCATGGACGCCACGTTCACTTTGCACTTGATGCGCATCGAAAAGTCCGTCGGCGCTGGCAAGCTCGTGATGCGGCAGTACCCCCTCAAGCTACAGCAGTCCAACTTTATATCATTTCGCATGGCCATGGCACTCGTGCACGTGATCGACGTCGACAGCCCCCTGCATGGGCTCACAGAGGAAACCCTTCGGCTGTCCGACATGATCATCCAAATGTCCATGACTGGCGTCGACTCGACACTCCAGGACACTGTCATCGAACGCCGCATGTACACGGCCGACATGGTCCGGTGGGGCCAAAAGTTTGCCGAAATGTTAGAGTTCGACGAGGCTACGATGGTCGTGTCGGTTGATTTTGCCAACCTCAGCCAAACGGTGCCGGCGCCGATCGCGGTGGCCGTCCCCAAGGCCAAGCACCACAAACCACCGTCTGCTGCATCGGACGGCGGAGGTGCCGAGGCGTTTCGCCGCGCGCAGACGGAAAAGCTCAACTCGCCTACGCCCAAGATGACATGGTCTTCGTCTCAACGCGTGATTCGACCCCCGAGAAGCAACAACCACAATCAAGACATGTCGACGTCGGGCAACATGGAACCGCTGTTTGAACCCCTGCTGCAACCGTCCGTGGGCACCCAGCGCGTGTCGCGGCGGCGGCGGTCGTCCGACAGCGCGAGTCGCTTGGGCAGCGGCCTCCTCTCGGAGCAACTGGTGCACTTGCACCAGCAATTGGCGGGGGATTTGATGACCCCTCCAACATCGTCGTCGTCTGCCAACCACGGCGACGACGAAGCCTTGAACAGCCGGAATCGCATTGCAAGCGACGAGTACAATGCTGTGGACCAAGGGCAGGAGCGGCTGCTGAGCTTCTCCATGAGCGGCAGCGACCACTCAATCGAGATTACAAACACGCCGCGATTCGTGCGCATCCACGCCAAGAACGTGCCCGTGTCGTACTCGTTTCTGAGCTTTTACTACACTGCTTTGCACATGAAATGGCCGCGTATCTTGCTCTTGATCCTTGGCTCGTCGTTGGTCGTCAACTTGTGCTTTGCCGTGCTCTACTATGCAACGGTAGCGTGTGTGTACAAGATATACAACGTGTATATATGTGACGTCAAAGATCAGTACTATATGTTTTGCCTCTAGTACGACCACCTGACGATTCTCCCCGACTTGGTGTCGGCCAATGATCGGTTTGAAATTGCGTTTTACATGAGCATCCACACCTGGGCGACGATTGGCTACGGCATCGTCGCCCCCAACCCCGACAACAACATCAACAACGTGTGGGTGGCGCTCGAGTCGATGCTCAGTCTTGTATTCGTGACCATCTTTACCGGTAGTTATCCCCCTCCCCCAAATGTGAAACACTATATATTGTTGGCCTAGGCATCGCCTGGTCAAAATTCGCTCGACCGCGGGCGCATATTCACTTTTCCAAGAACGTGGTGCTGTCCACCTATCACGGTCATCGCTGCCTCCTCCTTCGCGCAGCCAACACGCGGCACCACGGAGACATTCGGGAAAGCAACTTTCGGTAACGTCATCACAACTTGAAAGTTTGCCATCGACGAGTCGTGGGTCGTTCTAGGCTGGGCGTGGTGCTGACCAACTCCAAGACGGGACTGCGGCAAATGCAGGACGTGCCGCTTGTGAATGCACAGTGGCCATCCATTTTGCTGCCTGTGACACTGGTGCACATCATCGACGAAAACTCGCCGTTTTACCAGTTCCAAACTCCCGAAGACTTTTCCGCGTACCGCGTGTCGGTGATCACCGTGTTTACCGGTTTGTATATAGTATATATATATTATATATATTTATTTATTATAGCTGCGATACAGTAATCTCGTACCCACATGCGACAACGTAGGACTGGACAGCACGTTTGCCGAAAACGTGTACGCGCGCAAGATGTACTTTTGGGACAACTTTGTCATGAGCAAACACTTTGAGAACGCGGTGGCCTTTACCCCCGATCATGTCACGATCGATTACAGCAAGTTTGACACGCTCGTCGACGACGACATTCCGTTTCACTTGCACGTCTAATATGATATATATATATATATATATATTGGACGTAGGACTTTCAAGTTCCTACTATTATAATGTAGTATTGTGAATTCGCTATAAACAATTCCAAAATTCACCTGGTTTGTCTATATTGAATCACGCTGGAGTTCTGATTGGTCGAATATACGTGTCCTTTCTGCAAGAGCCAATCAAATCCACTCAAAAATGGATTAGCCAATAGCGTCGATTCGTGATTCGATTTGACGGCGAGATTCGATTCGACTTGGTCTGGAAATTCGTATCGAATCCACAATATATGTATTGTGCTTTCGAGTGAAATTTCGTGTTGTGGCGTGGTTTCTCGTTGGAATTTCAATCGATTTGATTGGCTACCTCAGAGGAGCTCAACATTATTAGCCAATCAAAACCTTCTCAAGAAATTCAACCAATCAGATCGATTGTGGATCGGTTTGATCGGCGCGATTCGATAGCCCCAAATTTGTATCAAATCGACAATACATGCGTCGGTGTCTGTGATCATCATACTAGTACAGTCAGTACCTGTCGACCAACTCACGTTCCAAGTTGTCCGAGTAAATTCCTTCAAACTACTGGTGGTATACAGCTACTGTGTCACACACTTAGACACTAATCACAGCGCTATCCCCTTGACCGCCTCCGTTTCATAGTCCATGATGTAGCTAAACAGGTAGATCATCCCATTTAAGTTATTTTTTTAAAAGGTGATAAAAAATGGCCAAACGATTGGATACTTTTTGCAATAATATCTAACAAATCGGCAAAAACTGAACATTTCCGTCTGAATCCAGAATTTGGAGTATTCAAAATGATGCAAAAAATATCTCTAAATATAGTGCAAAGGACGTTTTTTCTGAGAGTTGGCAATCACTGAGAATCGTAGAGTGCTTACCTTTGATCCAAACCGTCCAAAATAGGTGAAAGTCTGTCTTGGAATTCCTTTGAACGATACTTTCGAAATATTAATTGGGCAAAACGTGGAGTGTGATTTCGAGCCACTTTATAATTCTATTTTGACTTGGGCGTATTTAAAATAATAATAATTCTACTATTCAATTTTAAAAAAAAAATCAATTATCCCCAAGATTTGGATTTATGTGTTGACGATAGTACTAGTGTAGTATCAATGTTTGTTTCCCCACGACCGACGATCAAATAAATCGGTTCGTCGTCCAATATAATATCGACAAATACATCATGTTACAACCACAAATGTCTAATTGCACGGGGGGATGGCGACGAGGCCGCTCTGAATGACGTGGTCGATTGCTTGCAACGTCGCGAGCCCCGTGGCGTGGATGGAGAGCAAGTGGGGGTACGAAAGCTCCGAGTCATCTTCGTCTTCGACTTCGGGGTTGACGCGGATAAGCGTGGCTTGACCGCCGCTTTCGAGCACGGCCTGCACGAGCTCTTCGTTGTTTTCGCGCACAGTTTCCACCTACATCCTCGAGTTGATTGATTGGCTGTTTTATTGTCTTGTACCCGCGTGCCGCAGCCAATCTCCAGCACGACCAACCGCTTGGACGGGTGTTGCTGCAACACGTCCTCCACAGCGTCTTCCCACGCATGATATCGGTCCTACATACATATATACACTATCATTATTCTCTATGACGACGATATATCCATATTCTAGACAGGACGCACCGCCGCAGCGTCGTTGGGAATCCAATGCTTGTCACGAAACATGAGCACGTTGGGGCGACCGGGCCCCTTGCACCGAGGACATTGCAGCCTGATCGATGACGTTATCGTCGTCATCATCTATAGAACGAACGCACAGGGGGGAGGACGTGTCGTGGACGAGCATGGTCCTGTGGTCGACGTCGAATCGAAAGGCCGGCGGTAACGTCCACGTGTCGTTGCAGCACGGGGGCGACTTCTCCTTGGACCCAGCACATTGCCAATGCTACCCAACCACATGTCATTCGAGGACGAATATATATCAATATTGGTACCCCACCACCACTGATTAGAATTATAATATATCGATATTTCCACAGTGTGCTACAGTACTACTATGAACCAACCAAATCAGAATAATCATATGCGAGATTCGGTATGAATTTCTGGACTCGTTCCGTTCCATCGACTGTCCACTACGCACCAATATCTCCCATTGGTCAATCCGAATTATTACTAGTCGCTGATTGGCTACAATACTACCAAGCAGGGCAAAGTGGATATTAGCCAATCAGATGTCTCCGAAGGGGTTGAAGTGAATCTCGGCAATAATATTTCGATATTTCCATATGTAAGCCAACCAACCAAATTGTTAGAATTATAATAATACATCAATATTGACAATATTGCCACGAAGTCAGAATAATAATCTATCAATATTGTCAATAAGCTAGCCAACCAAAAAAGTCACAATAATACTATATATATCGTTAAAATCATCCAAACGACGATAGATCTTACGTCAGTGTTGCCATGGACGTCGTACACTTCGTTCTTGGCAAACACGCGAGTGCAGTGCGAGTCCACCTACATACATTGCATCAACGACAAACAACCATATGAAGCATGCAAATGTGCGGCGTACGTTCGACGTAAACACAAAGAACGGACTTGTCGTCGTGTTGGTCGGGTTGTTGTTGGCGAGCTTGTCTTTGATCAGTTGGCATGTCAACCGTTGCTTCCACCGCTTCAAAATGTCGTAGCCAGCATGCGGCGTCGTGTTGCGGTACTGGTTGAACGACTCGCCCCAAAACCCGAGAAAGATGGATATGTCGTCGTATATCTGAACATGCGACGCGTGTGTTTCATGGAAGCTCATGTCGTAGATAGGTAGGTACCCAATATGGGTCGCACAGGTCTTGGTAGTCAACGCCCAACTGGTGGTACGCTAGGACGTCGGCAATGTCCCTACGACAAAGTCACATGGTTGTGAGACCGACGTGTACGAATGTCGCGACGTTACTTGTAGACAGGAAGGCCGGAATCCGCTACAAGAAAGGCAAGTTCAAACCCATGACATTTCGACACATGATGGTACCTGAAAAGCCCGCCCCCACGGCCACAAGCAAGATGTCTGCGCGGAGGATCTTTTCTACATGCATGTCATAGACGTGGTTGATAGGATCGCACGGTCTGCCTACCGGCGGCGGAGGCCACGGCGGCCATGGGAAGGGTGTCCATGATGATGAACACCTGTGTGGGCAATTCGGAGAACGGAAATGCGATGCCAACAGCTTTCTTTTTGGGAAAAAACCATTGACTGCAATTATTGACCAATTATTTTGAATCTATACGATCTCGCACTTAACAGAACCACGTTGGTTTTTGACGCGCAAATACCATGGACGACGATGCAGCGCTTGGCGCGGCGGCAGGTTGGCATGTCCATGACCTTTCTACGAGTAGTTGCTCAACGCTCCATGCTATGGCCAACCTCGTAGACGATATTCTGTCGGCCGACTTTCTACTCGTGGCGGTCGGAGCGGGCTTTTCAGGTACGAATGCACGACGCCTTCCTTGGTCGACCACCCATCGTGTCGTCGTGTAGCGGACTCTGGCCTGCCTGTTTACAAGTACGTTCAGGTTGTACGTATCTTGGTTGGCTCAGTCGTCATGATGCAGTGACATCGCCAACGTGGCCGCGTATAAAGCCATGGATCTCGAATACCACGACCTGTGTGATGCGCACTGGGTAACCAACCACAACACACATCGCCGTTGCCCTCAAGGGATGTACCCTCCCTCCTCGATGTAAACATGTGTCCATTGACTCATAGGCACATGCAAACTTGCCATTGTTTTACGGCTTCTGGGGCGACTGCTTCAACATGTACCGCGACTCGAGTGGTCATGCAGGATACGAGATACTGCGCGAGTGGAAGCTCCGTCTGTGTCGAAAGCGAACCGACTTGGCGTCTCTCTTGCCTGACAAGTCAAGTCTTGACGTGACAACAGAGCCGTTCTTTGTGTACTCGTCGAACGTACGAAGCCCCACTCATCGCCAGCCATCCAACTTGTTTGGTTGTAGGTGGACGCTCATTTCCGTCGCATGTTTGCCCAGAACGAAGTGTACGAGATTCACGGCACCACAGAGGTAGGTAGTACTACTGTAGTATGGTTAAAATATGAGCTGAAGGCCAAGTGACGTACACCTTTTTAGCGGTGGCAATGCGCAGGGTTGAGCGACGGAGTGCCGCCATGTCCAGGCACATGGCTCCTCCCACCAGACTATCGCTTCCCCGTGGACAAGACTTCCATGCTATCGCACGTGTCAAGCCCCCCCCCTCCGTACGCCTTGGCATGTGGTTGCTGCTAACAAGATACTACATCCTAACTAGCACACTCAATCACTACCGGTAGATTTCTAGAATGCCCCAAGTGCCACGGCCCAGCGCGACCAAACGTGCTCATGTTTGGCGATACTTCGTGGCTTCCAAACCACCAAGACGAGGTGCAAACTCGAGTGCTACACGGCAATATAACTAGTGAATGAATGGTATGTAGGCACGGTACGTGGCGTGGGAGGCTGCCGTGGAAGAAGTGAGTAGTTCTCGTACTAGAAGGCCTCGAACTGTTGACATATATACTCAAACGAAAGTAGGCATTGATGCGCGATCGAACCAAGCGCCTTGTGGTGCTCGAAATTGGCTGTGGCTTACGTGTAAGTTGGTCTCCTACCATGACTGTGTTTGATAGCAAGAGGTGATAAAGGTGCCGAGTGTGCGGATGGAGTGCGAAATGGTTGCGCGGGACATCCAATGCAAGACTCAGTCCACTGACCAAGTGCGCCACATTCGCATCAATCCCACTGACATCGATGGGGACGACGACACGGCGTCACCTGTGCTGCGGCAGATCCAATCGACGGGCCTGGCGGCTCTAATGGCCATCGCCAAGCACATGGATACCGCGATTGCGACAATGTAGAGTGCAAATAGTATACTAGTACATACAGTATGTGACTATGAAGATCATAACGCTGACAAGCCAAATGAAAAGAAGACGACCTTCACTGTCGAAATCAAAAATAATTATTCCAGGTTCAATATCGAACTTAAGAGAGTTGCGTACCTTTTCGACCAATTCGACTGTCAATTGACAAATTAACATGGCAGCAGCGTCATCGTCCTTGATTCGCGATGCTGCGGGTATACGATGCCAAGGACATACATATCGATGCTAAGGCGTTGAATGGATAGAAAAAGTCAAAGGCGCCGACTACCTCTTGATCATGACGGGCGCTGGCTTTTCAGGTACGGCCGTGTGACCACGAGACTGTGTTGAACCGATGGCCATCGTAGCGGACTCTGGGCTGCCAGTGTACATGTAAGTGGCTTTATATAGCTTGTCCTCGAGTGGATTAGTCCACGCAGCACTGTGCCTTTGCAGGGATATTGCCAACGTAGATGCGTACAGCAAGATGGGAGTCGAATACCACGACCTCTGCGATCCGTGCTGGGTATGTACCTTACTTGTACTACGTGTGCATACTGTAAAACCCGCTTCACATGCAAGTAGATTCGTGACGATTTGCCAGTGTTTTATGGATTTTGGGGCGACTGCTTCAACATGTATCGAGACACCACTCCCCACGCTGGCTACGAAATCTTACAGCGCTGGAAGGCTCGGGTGATGGCCAAGTCCGGCGTAGCTAGCCATGACGACAACAGCAGCGCATCAACAACGACCCCCGATCCTTTCTTCTCGTTCACGTCCAACGTACGACCCCCCCATCGATTCTGACATACAATCATTGGATGACAAACTGCACTTGTATCGTAGGTGGACGCGCACTTTTTGAAGTTCTTTCAGCCCAACGAAGTGTACGAAATCCACGGCAACACCGAGGTACAGACTGGGTTGGCTTGCTTGTTATAGTGTTGACAAAATGCTTACATCGACTTTAGCATTGGCAATGCGCGAACCGGACCTGCTCCAAGGCGATTTGGACGCTTCCGTCTGCTTTCCGCTTTGAAGTGGACACCGACACGATGCTTGCGTCGCACACTGACGCTGCAGAGTACGTTGGTTTCTTGGTCATGATAACATGTGAATCATGCCATCTCAATCATGTATATAGGGGCTTGGCCTGTCCAGAATGCGGCGGCCCCGCGCGCCCCAACGTGCTCATGTTTGGGGATGCCGATTGGATTCCGAATACGACCGACGAAGTATGTACTAGTGATTGTTTCGTGTGGATATATATTTCGAGTTGAATTTGGTCACAGTGAAGTTTACGTTTCTTTGGTGACCGGCTCCACACGTCATCTAACTGCGTGGCTTGTCCTCATAGCGTCGATACAGGGAATGGATCGCCCGTGTTCAGGACGTACGTTGCATGCTCTTCGCATCTGACGAAATGATGTAGCTGTAGTGGACACTCAAAGACCTGTAGGCGTTAAGTGCGGACAGCTCGAAGCGGCTGGTGATTCTCGAAATTGGATGCGGCACCCGGGTGTGTAGTGTGGTGCCAACCACGAAGAGACGGACTGTAACGCTACACATTAGGTGCCATCAGTACGCATTCAAAGTGAGCAGGTTTTGCTGTACATGCTGAGAACGACCAGAAGCCACAGCCGCCTTGCTGACACGGGCGACTACCAAGCGCATTTGATTCGCGTGAACCCGGACATGGAAGACGACGAGTTCGAGTGGCAGGGTTGTGACGGCCACCAGTTGCCGCCCATGACCAAGATCGAAGGCTTCGGCTTGGCCACGCTGCTAGCCATCGACCAGGAGATCGTCGGCTCGGATGCGTAGATACTGATATCACGTGTCTTGACACCAGCGTTGGTGTTTTCTCATGCGTGTAGAACCTCCTTGGATGAACACATAATAAAATATGGTCACCATCTAATCCTTGTTGGCATCATGTGGTGATACTACTTCCGCGTCGCCCCCCTTGATGTGCTACCGTTTGCAGTAATGGGGAGCCACAAGTATTTACCCCCCCCCCAAAAAAACTGCCTTGTAAGTAAATTGCCTACGGTACTCCACTAGTTTCACTGGATATGGGTGTTTCATGTATTGCTATTGGTGACCATTCTACTCATTGACTGTTCTACTCCCACGGCAATAGCACGACGCGATCGACATCTTGGCGACGAAGTGACGGGTGGAGTTTGCCCGTGTCGTACAGCACCTTGTACTTGGCGCACACGTCGTCTCGTTTTTGAGTGAGCTGGTTGATCGTGTCTTGGAACCGACTGCCGCCGCGCTGCATGAGGAGCGCCAGTTGCGACGACAGCAGGCTCGCCATGGTGGCGTAGCTCTCGGCCATGAGAGGGACGTCCCCCACGGCATCCGCCGCTGCCATCAGGTGTTCGCATTCGGCCAGGGCCATTTCATACGCGCCTTGCTTGTCGTACAAGTTGACCATCGCTCTGTCATGTGCAAAGTCACGCAATGATGGTCATCATCTCTTGATCGACGTACTTGCTGGCCATAGCTTGGAGGCGCTTGTCGCCGACGTCCACGGCGTACTTTTTCTGCCGAAGGAACAGTTGCAACGGCTCGTCCGTCGACTCCATTGCCTGATGAGCTGTTACAACATGAACACGTTGCGACACTCTAGCTACTACGCACAATGCCATGGCGTTTCATTTCTGTGGCCGCGCTGCCCATGCCAAAATATGCCAACGCTTGTTCCTTCTTGTTGCCGAGCACCGTCGCAATCTTCTACTCGTAATAACATACTTATTAGTATAACACACAATGCCACCAGTACCAAATTCGATCGAAAGTGGTGCATCGCATGACTGGAATCCCCCGAGAGGAGGTAGTTGATCCCCAAATTGCAGTGCGCCCGCAGTTGCCCGTACTTGTCGTCGTGGGTCGTCGCGATGGCCAAATCCGACTCGAAATACGTCGCCGACTCGTCAAACTTGGACTCCATGACGCTCACCGTGCCGAGTCCAGTGGCGATGTTGGCTTCCGCGACTGGACTCCTCGCAAACCGGGCCGTCTGCAGCGCCATGACAAGCTCCGCGTGGGCGTCGTACAGGTTTTCACGAAAAAAACACAACATGCCAAGGCACCCCTGGGCCTAAAATAGTACGGCACGATCTATGAGCTCCAAGACAGTTCAAACTATCAAGTAACCAGGGCAACGAGAGCGGGGGCGTTGCAGCTGTTGGCCACGTCGATGGCTCGAGTGAAATGTGCGTCGGCTACTTGCACGTGATTTTGTTCGGCGGCGCATACGCCCATGTGATACAAGGCTGCGGCTTGGTGCTTGGGCACAGATGCGACAGCCAAGCAACGCTCGTAGATGGTGTACGCATGGCCATAGTCCTTGCTTTCGAAGACATATGCCGCGAGATTGTTGAGACAACTACAACCAGCAGTGTAAGGAGTCGGTGTTGTTGGGGGTGTCGATTATGTGTGGTTGCACCATTCGAGTAAATGCGCATCTTGTACATCTTCCGCTACCTCAAGGGCCGTGGTGGCATGGGCGATGGCTTTGCCTAGCTCTTTGCGATGTTGTTCCGCCGCCGCAAGAACTACACAGATATCAAGTGTCGTGTCAGACTCTCCAACCAAGCATTCGTACTAGTCAAGGCCGAGACGAGGATGGGCTTGTCCGATTCCTAGTGCAAAGTACATGAGCGTTTTCGTTGTGGCTCCCATCCAGATCGACCTGGGAGTCGACGACCAACGAAGCGAAATGACCAGATTGCACAAACTGCTTGGAGCGTTGATGGGCGAGGGCTAGGTTGACGTGGGCGAGGCTCACGGCCCGTGAGTTTGCTCTGGTGGTGGCCAGCGTCAGCGCTTCTGTGAACCACGCGATGGCCAGATCCATGCGACCACTTTCGTAGTACATGCTGCCGATGTTGTTGAAGCACGCCTCTTGGGCCACGGGTTCTAGAGCAAGTTGCTTTTGACAATGGTACGGTTTAAGTAGATTGCAGTGTACGAACCCCCCGACTCCTTGCGAATGTCCAGTTCTCGCTCAAATTGTTCGATGGCCATTTCGTGATCTCGACCAGCCACATAATGGTGCGCCAGTTTGTTGTGGGTCTTGGCTACTTGGGCCCGTGTGCCTCGCTTCGTCACTCCATTCAGCTGATCTAGCAGCTCCGCCAGCTTTGCTTTGTACTCGGAGTCAGTGCCATCTCCAATATCTGTCGTCATCTTGAGTCACTGGAAAGTAGTCCTCGATCGGTTACGGCGACCATAGCCGTTTCACGGACGTTTCGCGCCAGGACGTCATATCGTTGGCAGCCCGTCCATGGCAGCGACGCAATGTCCACTTGGACACCAAGAATGTAGTGCACACACTGTAGTGTACGGCTGCTAGGCAGCGTTTCTAGTTACATTTGCATCGTTATGCAGTGTGCATCTGGGCAAGTGCAGTGTCAAATGTGGGAGAACAAGCGCATGGATACAGTATTCCCGCAACAAACAGCCCAATAATCTTTGGATTGTATTGCATTACTGATTGTACATCAACATTGGTCGTCCCATACTTCTTGGCTAGGCAGGAGTTTACTCGACGTCCTCCTCGTCCACGTCATCTGTCTTGAAGAACGTGTATGAGAGCGTGATGTTGGACACGTTTTGCATCGAAGGGTCGTCGACGATGTCGGGGTCGATAAAGAAGAACACGGGCATGTCGATCTCCTCCTGCGCCTTGAGCCGCTGTTCCTCGAAGCAAAAGCATTGGATCTTGTTAAAGTACAGGCCGGCTTTCGGGGGATACACGTTGTACGTGGCCACGCCCGTGATGGCCTTGTCCGTATTGTTCATCGCCGTGTAAAACGCCAACGCGGTTTCGCCAGGAACGATGATCAAGTCTCGCTGCACCGGTTTGAACGTCCACGGCAAGGCGCCGCTGACACCGCCGTCGAACGTGATGCGGATGGGATGTGCGCCTTCCACGGGGCTAAGCTTGTCGGCCGCCAAGATGTCACTACGTTGCGTGGTGCCACCGAACCCAGTCATTTGACAAAACACCTTGTACAGCGGCACGGCTGCATACGCACCACCAAAGAACAGTATCACGACGCCAGACGTGTAGTACAGAATCCGTCGATTCTTCTCCTTCAGCTGCCTCGCATACGCCGCCTTGCTACTCATCGAGCGATGGTGGAGCATTGGGAACATCATGGACGACTGCCGCGGTACCGCCGTCACCCGGCGAAGGAGTACGTGCATGCTCAGTCGACGTCGTCAAATTAGTTGTGCACATCATTCCGGTAGCTATCCGGTTAAGTTAACCGTGTTTATGAGACTTCCGGGATATATTTATTTAATATTTCGAAGCATTGCTTAATGATAATTTTTCCATTCTATATAATTTTATATAAAACGCTCTTGCATCGGAAAAAACCTTGCAAATCAAGTTTAAACGTAGGTTAAACCACTTTGTGGTGCTTGCATTCTGCGGACCTTCTCCGAACCTCATGTTCAAGACCTTGATCGCAAGTGCCGCCCGCCACGGTGGCATCGCTACCTCTCGCCATTTCTCATCCGGTCCCACAATGCACGGCACAACGATCTTGTGCGTGCGCAAGAATGGCAAAGTTGTACGTACCTCGTCTCGAATCATAGCGCTGATCTGACGGACCGGATGAATGGTTCGTAGGTTGTCATTGGCGACGGACAAGTGTCTCTTGGTCACACGATTGTCAAGCCGAATGCGCAAAAGGTCCGCCGGATCAACGAAAACGTTATCGCAGGGTTTGCAGGATCTACGGCCGACGCGTTCACGCTCATCGAGCGCTTGGAGAGCAAATTGGAAGAGTACCCTGGTAATAAGGTTCACCCGACACCAAATCACATTCGTCACGTGCGATTCGTAGGACAATTGACACGCGCCTGCGTGGAGTTGGCCAAGGCGTGGCGAACGGACAAGTACCTCCGCGCGCTGGAAGTACGACATCGCATGTTGCATAGATTCTGACATGGGTGGTAGGCGCTCCTGATTGTCACGGACAACAAGCAGTCGTTCACGTTGACCGGGAACGGCGACGTGCTTCAACCACACGATGGGATCATCGGCATCGGATCCGGCGGCACGTACGCGCTGGCTGCCGCTCGTGCGTTGATCGAAGAGCCGCACTTGTCGGCCGAAGAAGTGGCGCGACGCAGCATGAAGATCGCCGCCGACATTTGCGTCTACACCAACCACAACGTCGTCGTCGAAGTGTTGGACGAAGAACCCAGTGTTGCTGCTACTGCGTCTCCCCCGGCGTAAACACGATCCCAGTCTATGGTCGTGAATGAACGCGAGGACTCCTCTTCCATTCTTGTTTCGTCGGTCGGTCCCATCACATGCAGCACATTCATCTCATCGTACACGCCCGGGACCGTTTGCACTTGCATTTCCCACAGGACATGCCAACGCCATTCCAAATGCTTCGGCATCAAATCTCGACTGCAATCCGTCGGATCTAGTGGACCTACGCTACCGACCTCGCAATGGTCTCATCAAGGGCACTCCATGTAAACTCATATCTTCCATCAGAATGACCGCACCGTACACACCTCCTATGCATCCCACGAGACTGTCACTCTCCGCCTTCATTACCAACATTCCTCCATGCAAGTGCACTGTGCCCTTTGGAACCCACACCATATATTATTGATATTACTCCGGAGTAGTACCATCATCATGCTATTGCATACTATTATTAATAATAGTAGTTGTGTAGTTGTGTAAAATATATATATATATAACAATTCATATGATCCTGCGATGCGCGTCGGTGGGTTAGATGGTGTTGGCCATGACGAGGTTGTACTGGGCCAAATTGCGCTTTAGAATGTTCTCCAGCGGACCCATCACCCGCTTGAACGTCTTCCGATCCAGGGTCAGACACTTGACTTCGCCCTTGGCAGTTACCGTCGCCTGTCGGGGGCGCGTCGTCAGCAGCGCAATCTCCCCAAAGTACGCGCCTTGGACAAGCACGCCGATCTCCTGGATGGGCTCGTTCGGTGATAGTTGCTTGGTGCACACAGCCGTGCCCTCGGACAAGATGTAGAACAAGTTGCCGTCGTCGCCCTGGCGGATGATCACTTCGCCGTCGGCAAACGTGTCCACGCGAAGGGCGTCGGCGACCGTCAGCCGCTCGTACTCGCTCAGACTCTCGAGAAGCGGCACCTTTTGAATGAACCCCTTGTACGTGTCTCGTTTCTTCATGGTGGTTTCCATGATGATGTACTTGAACGTTTGTCGGTCCAGCGCCCACACCTTGGACTTTTCCTTGACCTTGACCGTGGCGGCGCGCGGCGCGTTGTACATAAGCGCCAACTCGCCAAACGACATGGCCTCTGTGCACGTCAACACGAGGTTGTCGTCCTTGTATACCTCGCACACGCCCGTGTCCAAAATGTAAAAGTTGTCGCCGTCGTCGCCTTGCTTGATAATCGTCTCACCAATGTCGAATTCCTTGGGGAACATCGCGTCCAGCAAAATCTACATGGACACTTTTCGATCAACTCTCTAGTACGTGAGGGGGCGGAACGTGTTACTTTGGACTGCTTGTCGTCGAGCGATTTGAACAGAATGTTGTCGGCCAAGATGTCCGAAATGCGTTTCCGTTCCTCCTGTGACTTGGGGTGAGTCACGGCCTCGAGGGGTTTGGCGCTCTCGGGATCCAAAGTTTCCGCGGACACGGACGTTCGTCGTCCTTTGCCAAAGGGTCGCGTCGGTTGGGTAGTCTGGTGCATTTCGCCGATCGAGTCTTCGTCTGGTTCGTCTTCGCTCTCTGACTCGTCCGAATGATGCCCAGTCGCAATGGCAGGCGCGTCGGGCTTTCTCGATGTGGCTTGCTCGGGGAAGTTGGTCTTGAGGTACTCAATGATGTGTTGGACGGGGTTTTCGGGCTTGGAGAGAAGGAGTGACTCGACGATGTTGATGAAGAGGGTATTGATGCCCTTCTTCTGCAGGTAGTCCTGCAGCTCTTGCTGTACGCCCTCTGCGTCTGCCATGATGTTTCGTTCCTTGGTTGCCGCCTAAAGATCTCTTGCTGTTGTGGACTTGGGCGCCGGGAGCAAAAAGCTACGGAAAAAACGAAATGATCTTGGATATTGGGGTTTTTGGTGGGGGGCGACGGTTCCGACGCGACGCTTCGAAGGTAAAATCTCTCGTTTGATTGGTTGAAAATCGATCGATATTCGAAAAAGATATGGTTTTCGACCAATCCACGCCATTGTTGAAGTCTGTAAAATCCTTCTTTTTTCGAAATTTCGTCGGTTTTTGCTGCAACAGAGCGACCTTGAGTCAAGTAAATGCTCCACCCGACAAGTAAGTCTACTGGGGGCGACAGTGGCGGCGGCGGCGGCGGAGAACGTGGAGGACCTTGGGGGTGGAGAGATTTGGCAATCGGTGCCTCGTCAACTGACGTAATGTTACCGGTAGTTTGGTACTGTACATTACATACTACGCCGCGCTCCCTGCAGTTTCAACCTTGCTCTTTTGAAAGCTTGGAGTAGTTAATAGTTAACTGTAAGTTCGCAGTCGAAAATATGACAGCGTGGCCTGTCAGGGTTCCCATACTGTACCTTTTGCTTTCCTTAACCACGATATGCACACAAAACGATATACACACGCTCAGCTGTGTGTACCAGTATGTGCCAGTTGGATGATGCTTGGTTTCACGGCTCAAAACGATTTGAATCTCACCAGCACATTGCACATCTTTTCGAGTGCAGAGTTTTGACATCATTTCGGAAGGCTGCATGATAATAATGGATGGTCCACATCGTTCGACGACGTCCTGCCCTTTGGCAAACTGAAGATTCACATCAGTCCAATGTGTCCAATGCTTACTGCACATGAACTGTCCCTTGGGTTGTCAAGTGCGATCTTAGACTTCCGGATATGAGTATCCGGAATAGACACGTGTAAAAGTGAAGCGAACAAACACTTCGCCGCCACGTGCGCGACTGTAAAAAGGCGACTAACGTTATGGCGGCAGATGACCTGGACGCTGCATACGAAGGTCTCTTCATGGCAGCCGAGCATGGGCGCGCAGATGTCCTCAAGGCGCTCCTTGAACATGGGAAGGATGTCTTGGACCTACCACAGATTCGAAATGCCAGTGGACTGACTCCACTCCATGTCGCGGTGATCTACCAAAAGGCCGACGCTGTTCGCGCTTTGCTGGCAGCTGGCTTCCCAGCTGATGCGGTTGTGCTTGGTGCGAACGATTCAAAGTACGCAGGGATGTCTGCGTATGCGTTGGCGGCGAACCAGGCGCCGGTGAGCACCATGATGCATGTGTTCCTCCAGTACGCGATCCAAGAAATCGCAGCCAACCACATGGAAAGCGTCGCGTGTCTGCTTCGAGCCGGCATCGACCCCATCACCGCCACAGATGGATCACCCCTCGACAACTCACTGCTCCATTGGGCTGCCTGTAGCAATGCCACCGACGTCGCTGCACTTCTACTGCGTCACGTCCAAGACGACCAGCAGCGAGCTGTGTTTGTCAACCGCCGCAACGCCGACGGCGCCACGGCCTTGCATGATGCGTGCTATGGCAATCACGTATCTTGTGTCCAACTGCTGGTGGATCACGGCGCCGACCTCTCGGTTGTGGGAACGTCGGGCTACGTCAAGGACAAGATGGCGGTCGAAGTCGCGAGTAGCAGCGACATCACGCGCATTGTGGCCAAGGCACGTTTCCAGCGCGCATCGGCCTTGTCTAGCCCTCGCCCAACCGTCAGTCGTACGTCCACGTCATTACCAAAACCACGTGAGGTAGTTGCTTCGGGGGGCGAGGTCGACTTGGAGCAACCGGTGCCGCCACTGTCGCCGCCGCGGTCCACATCGTCGAATCCACGAAAGGAAGACGTGGATGGGCCACCATCCCATGCCGGAGGAGCCTTGTCCGTGGAGCATACGTCGGTGCTGTTAGAAGAAAAGCAAGCGTTGATTGACGAACTCAAGCACACGATCGACGGTTTGGTCACCGAGTCCCATGACCGCCAATTGCTCGGGGAAGAGACGGTCGTGCTCGAGTTTATTCGAAAGCTGCGCGAGGTACGTAGATATATATATATATCGCCAGACTAGTAGTAGTACTAGGGACGAACATTAGTATCATCGCTAAATGGGTACTAGGAAAAGCAAGCGGTGGAGCGCCATTTGCACGATGCTGAAGACCACATTGTCGCACAGGAAGAGATCATGATGGAACTCAAAGCCCATATTCGTCGCCACAACACGCTAGTCGAGGTACATACAGTTCAGTCGGGGTTTTATTCGTCGTAGCAACATTCATTCATGCATCTTTTATTATTCTAGGATGTGAAGCAACATTCATTCATGCATCTGTTATCATGCTAGGACGTGAAACAACATTCATTCATGCGTCTTTTATTGTTATAGGATGTGAAACAACATTCATTCATGTATCTGTTATCATTGTAGGATGTGAAGCAACATTCATTCATGCATCTGTTATCATGCTAGGACGTGAAACAACAATCATTCATGCGTCTTTTATTGTTCTAGGATGTGAAACAACATTCATTCATGCATCTTTTATCATTGTAGGATGTGAAGCAACATGCATTCATGCGTCTTTTATTATTCTAGGAAGTGAAACAACATTCATTCATGCATCTTTTATTATTCTAGGATTTGAAGCTGGAAATCCGTACGCTACAACAAGCCAAGTACAGGACAAGTGGCGTCCCACATGGGGAAGATGCGGTAGTCGTCACAGTGACTGGTGCAGACGACAGCGGCGAGCCACGACGTAACGACCCAAGGAACGGTAGCTCCCACAACACATTTCAGAACACCAGTGTGACCATCACCACGGATCTGGAAGTGCCGCTGCCACCTTCACCGACACCGCCGCCAACCCCAAGCTTCTGGTCGAACTTGTTGTACTATTTGTGGCCGTTCGCAGACGAAGAAACCCTGCCGTCGATGACCGAGTCGCCACCTGGCATTTTGGATGCGACCATCTTGACTGTGTAAACTGCAGTATTTAATAAACCTGACGACCATATATTGTCGATTTGATACAAATTTGGGGACGGGCCAAACCAATCCACAATCGATCTGATTGGTTGAATTTCATTAAGAAGGTTTTGATTGGCTAATAAGTTTGAGCTCATCTGAAGTAGCCAATCAAATCGATTTAAATTCCAACGAGAAACCACGCCACAACACGAAATTTCACTCGAAAGCACAATACAGCCACACGCCACTTTGAAGTTACGCTGGCTGCTTAGGTCCCATCAGCACCTGTGAATCCGTCCCTTGGATCTTTAGAGTGCCACGCATTTTTTATCCGGAATTTGAAGGCATCCGGAAACTCTGCCCGTCTTTCCAAAAACTGACTTGTTTGTTGTATAAGCACCTGGCAGCCAGTTGAAGTAGTCAAAATGACAATCTATTTTATGCAAGGTATTCAATTGTACAGGTTTTGTTACATGAATATGATGAATACTTTACAATTTGTTTGACATTGAATATAAAAGGATATTTATTCCAGCAAGCATGCCGCAGGAAATTCATGTATCTATGCTTCACTTTTTTCCACAAAGTTCACGGCCTCCACCATGTTCTCAAGAGCGCAGCGGACGTCGTCCGGCAGCATGCCGGGATGGATGTCCAGTCCGACAGGAGAAACGCCGCCAACTAGCGCTCGTGGTCGAAAGGGTGGGGGACGTGCCCACACGTCGAGCTTTGGCGACCCGTCGCAGCCGTCGTGGCTCAATGAAACCACGCCACGCGCGGCTCCGTCGGTAACGTCGTGGACTGCAACCGGCGAAGGCGACCCGCTCTTGCCGAACAAAGACACCTACGTGGACATTGGTTTGACCCGCCGCCATTTCAAAGGTCCTTTGGGCAAGCGATACAGCACGGACATGCTGTGCTTCCTCTTATTCGGTCTGTACATGGTTGGCATGGTTGCGTTGGGCATCGTGGCCTTCGTTCAGGACGGGTTGTCGGACAAGGCGATCTACTTGACCGAAGGCGTCGATTTCCAAGGACACGGCTGTGGTTCCAACGGCGCGGTGTTCTACCCCCATTACCAGTCTCATCCCGACTTTGGCATTTGCGTGTCGGAGTGTCCGAATGAAACCAGCCGCGTCCAAGTGACGTTGCCGGTGCTTGCATCGTTATCGTCGAATGCGTCGAACGTGATTGGGGCCACCAACATGGATGCTGCCAACGCCACCACGTCCTCGACCACCGTCATGCGCACAGTGACTTTCCCAGGATACGCTACCATCAAGCAGGGCTACGTGTGTGCTCCCGTGGGTGCGCTGGACGCCGTCGTCGCCGACACGACGCAATTGAACGACGTGTTTGGGCTGTACATTGGTGCCATTCGTGAGGTCTGTGTGAACGAACGTCTTGAAATGTTGGGAACTTATCCCAATGATTGTAGAACTGGGAACCGTTGCTGTATTCCGCGGGCACTTGCCTTGGGCTGGCGACTTTGTACCTGATCCTGCTCCGCTTTGGCGGGTGCTTCATCCTGGGGCTGTCCGTGGTCGCCTTCCAGGCCGCCCTCGTCGCCGCCGCCGTCTACATCTGGTCCTTGTCCACCAATGATACGCTGGACCGCCACGCGCAGAACATTCTTTTGATCGCCGCCGTGTTCCTCGTCTGCGGGGCCATGGCGTACTTCTTGGCCGTGGTCGTGCTGGTGCAGCGTACGTCTCTAACTACCCCCCCCCCAACTTATAACTACCCCCCACTTATAACTTCCCCCCAACTTATAACTACCCCCCCCCCACTTTTGTGTGTATGTTAACCCACAGTCGTGGTGTAGGTTTGCTGTTGGCTGGCAAGTACCTCGTCTTTGGAACGCGCGTATTTTCCCAGATGAACAAGATGGTACTGATCCCGTTCTTGTACTCGTTTGCGCTGGTGGCGGCGCTGGCGTGGGGTCTCGCGGTCACCGTGTGCCTCTTCACGGCCGGCACAACGATCGACGTCCCAGAAACCATTCCCGTCGAGTCGACACATGCACCAGGTAGTACGAACGAGACGTTTTGTACGTGTTTCTTTTCCTACTTTGGTACTCAATACAGACAACGATGGATTTTACAAGCCACACCGACGTTTATGTGTGTATCCATGTATTGTGTGGCCAATCAAAAGGTTCAGCTATTACAATGATTTGGGATTGAAATCGAATTTCGAAGTATATTGACCAATCTGAGGTGAATATTTAGAATGTACTTCGATTCAAAGTGTCGTGTTGTTTCGAACTCAAACGCTTATTCGAATGATAGTGTGTAGCCAAATATTGTTTGAGATATATTTGGGCATTAAATCCATCGGTCGATATATATATCGACCGATGAAAATAGTGTGAATAGAGATAGATACACACTCATCAGTACAACATTGCGTACAATATATATATATTGTACGGAATGTTGTATATATATATATATACATGAATAGAGATAGATACATACACACGCTCATCTGTACAACATTCCGTACAATATATATATACATGAATAGAGATAGATACATACACACACTCATCTGTACAACATTCCTACTATATATATATATATATATAATATATCATTCCGTACAATATATATGTATATAATATAACATTCCGTACAATATATATATTGTACGGAATGTTGTACAGATGAGTGTGTATGTATCTATATTCACACTATTTAAAGGCACACGCGAATTCGATCGTTGTTGCCAAAGTTTGATTGGTCCTTTGAAAATGTTGTGGCGTGTGATTGGTGGGTCGATTTGGTTCTGGTCCTTGGATTATTCCGTCGAAACAATATATTCGAATCGACTTGACACTATATGCACATATAAGTCATCTTGATATTTTTAATTACACTTCGAATGGAAACGACTACCGGTACTGTACTTTGCCCTTGAGATTTAAATATTATTAATCATTTTACTTTAAATTTATATACTTTTTATTACTATTATTATTTATTGATTAATAAAATAAAAATACAAAACGAATACACGTAAATGACTTTTTGGTTCTAGTGACGGTGCTGGTGCGGTCGTTCGAACGAGATAGTACCCTTCGGTGGCTGTTTGTGTACCATGCATTTGGCATGTACTGGCTCGTGTCGGTGCTGCTGGCGCTGGTAGACATGACGGTGGCCATGGCCGTGGCGGTGTGGTACTTTACGCCCACGGACCGCCAGACCAAAGCCAAGGCGTTCGACGTAGCTGACCCGGTGCAGTTTTCGATTTCAACGATCCTCAAATACCACGTGGGGACTGCCGCGTTTAGCGCGCTGGTGGTGGCGCCCGTGCGCTACATACGCAACTTTTTCATGTACATTGACGCCAACAAAGAGGTCGAAGCTGGCGGCAACTGGTTCAGCCAGCTCAGCTCGACGCTGTGCTGCGTACGTTGGTTTTCCATGCTGTAGAATTCATGTTATTATTATTGTTATATTCAGGTTGGGACTGTTTGTAGTGCTGCATCTGGTGCTTCAACCAATTCATCGTGTTTATCTGCAAAGAATCGTACTTTGTCACAGCGATCGAAGGCACGAGCTTTTATAGCGCCGCCAGAGTCGCGCACGGACTCATCACATCGCACATCCTTCGCGTCGGAGCGATCAATCGCATCGGAAATGCCAGTGTCTTGCTGGTACATACGATATATCGGGGGAGTATCATCACGATGTGCATCTGTAGGGCAAACTCATCATCTGCAGCGCGACGTCTGCGATAGCGTGGACGATGCTCGTGGACAAGGCGGCGCTGTCGGACGTTGTTGTGCCCATGACTGTGATCGTGCTTGGGTCGTATGCGATTGCCCACACGTTTATGACGGTACAGAGTCGATATATATATATGTTGTGACCTTGCTTGTCGTATATATATATATTTATATAACTATATATATTGACCATGCCGCGATTATATTGTTTGATCATATGTAGCTGTACGAAACGACGATCAACGTTCTGTTGCTGAGCTTTGCCATGGACGAAAGCATGAATGGCGGCCGCAATCGCGCTGAATTTGCCCAAGTCGATTTTACCAAGTACGTTTATACTGACTCGTTTTGCGGGGGCAATATGATGGTGTCGCTTGTAGGTCAGTGAACGACAACTTGCGGCCAAAATGGCAAACGGTGTTGTAACATGGCCGTCAAGATGGGAGTTTATTGCTGTGGATCCTTGGAATAGTAGTTCGGCCGCCTTGCGTCGTTGCCTACGATCCATTTTGCATCATTCCGTAGCCATGCAATGCAGTCTCTAACGTGCCCTATATATGTGGTCATAACCGTGTCACACATAATAATAAACGTTATACCTTTGATGTGTGTGAAGAAGGCAAGTGGACAAGTCACGTAAAAGTCCAATTGAAGGTCCTCCATCCATTTAACGTTGACAGTTTAAACCTACTGCCTAACAAGTAACATATCGCATTCAGAACTCATGACTAATATAGATGGCATTTTTTTTATGGGACACTGGAAAGAGACCTATTAGTCGTACAATGCAGCTTACTCGTCTCTCAGGACCTGGATTTCAATTCTGAAAAGTGCTGCATGAAGCCGAAAGGTTGGGTATTCTTCTCATTATTTAATCGGCTTGAATAGACTTTAGCTTAGCGTTCATTTACTTCGATTCCCCTCAAGTCAAGGCAAAATAGGAGGGACGGTTTATGGTGCACGGTTTAAGCTTAAAATATGTATGGTGTTTTGAGTGATTTCATTTTTCTAGTGATTTGATTGGCTATTCCAAAACTTAAGCTATTCCATTGGCCAATTTGAGTGCACCCTAAAGCATCATAACTGGCCATGCCATGCCCCGATTTTAGCTTCATGTAACACATTGTACAGGGAATGACGTATTAAGCGCCCCCGTGGTACTTCGAATTGGCATTTCAATTGTGTATTGGGACAAACTACTTCGAAATTTCAATACTTTAATCAATACGAAATTTTAGTACCACGGGGGCGTTTAATACGTCATTCCCTGTACTGTGTACAATCATAATCCGATACTACTGTAGTATCTACGAGTTGACGGTTAGGGTATTTGCCTTCGACGGCAGCGTACGGAAAAAAGGAGTTCTTACTTTTAAATTGGACTTTTACGTTAGCAGCAGCCCAATCGATCTAAGATGTACAGCCCCAACAAAGCAGTGAAAACTGGAGCATTATATTGTGCTTGTTTACTGCACTTTGCTTTTCCATGTCATGCGACAGTGATCGGCACACCAATAGTATGCATGAAGGAGCCCCCCCAGGGCGCGGGCCATAATGTTGAACACACCTACTATCCACACATTCGAATTGTGAATGCGCCGCGTATTCCCTATAGAGGCCGAGACTACTACTTTGGCAGCTTGGCACATGCCCACTTCGTACCGCCGCAAGGCATCGGACACATCGTCGGGGCGTCGAACACCCGCCAGCATGTTCGCCAAGCGCAACGCGTCTTGCAAGGCCGTGGTCGCCCCGAGCCCGGCCTGTGTCGTCGTCTTGTGTGCTGCATCTCCGAGAAGAGTCACGCGAGAAGCCAAGGCGATTCCAAGCGGATTGGTCGCCATCGTGTCAGCCAACACGCTGTAGAAACTGTAGCCTCGAAACATGTCGAGAGAGGGCGTCGCTGCGATGATGTTTGCGACGTCGTCGTCAAAGCACTCTTTTGCCAGTTGCCTCCCGCATGACAGGGGCATCAAGGGCACTGTGCAGTTGGCTCTCGGTGGCGACGCTTTGAGGCATCGAGAGGCTCCACAGGACGCGGTGCGTTCCGTACACAAAGCATAGAAAGCTCACACCACGTCGCCCTGCCTTTCGAACGAGCGACGATCGAGCGTAGTGGAAGAGGCGGTTCGTGGCTGCCAAGTCAGATGGACACCATGCACGACCCTGCATCCGTCCAATACCCCAATGCCACTGGCTCCAGCGCTGGACAACGTTGGGCACGGATGCGGTTGCGAGCCCCGTCGGCCCCCACGACACAGTCGAACATTGATGACGAGCCGTCCGCACAAGTCACGACGACTTGCTCGTTCTCTTCAACGTATGAAACCACTTGTTTGTTGTAGAAGATGGACAGACCGTCGCGCGGCTTGGCTGCGGTGGCGTTGAGACTGTCCATCATCGCGTTGCGGAGGTCGCTCCGACTGATCATGGCGCTGGCTACACGCCCGTCTGGCAAGTGAATCGACAACGCGTTACGGACAAGTATGAGTGGGGTGGACGACGACTTGGACATCAACGCAAGGTTGATGGCGCCATCGGCGGTAAAATATTCGGCCAAGTGCGGCCATCCCAACTGATTTGTCAAGATGTCCACTGCCTCCTGTCGAAGCCCAATCGCCAACCCTTGATCCCGCGTGGTGGGCCCTGCATCCCGTTCGTATAGAGTGACTCGAATATGAGGTACCTTGGACAGCAATTGTGCGGCGGCAAGTCCACCGATGCCTCCGCCAACCACGAGAACGTGCACACTTGTCATGAGACGACTTTTTTACAAAGTGACTTTTGGCTTGCAACGTCGGAGCCACATACACTCTGCTTCAAGGTCAAGGTCTCCATTGTCGAGCCAATCAAATCGGTCTATTTTACAGCAATAGTCGGGGAAGACCATCAATCTATGTGGTCGTTGGAGTGTACTACGTTTTTGGTGGACAACCACACGATAAGCTACAGTAACGATCTAACGTTACAAGGGCAACCGTTGCTGGTACTTTAGATGCGCGCTTGGAGTAGACACTGGCTGAGGCTCCAACATCTTGCCTCTCGTTGTCATGATCCCCTGAAAGCGATCTTCGCCATCAGATCTGAACTGAAATTGATTCAAAGGGTACAGTAACAGTACGAATATGTAGTGCCTAGACAGTGGAACGGCCTACAAGGACGTTATTCAGTCCTTTCAAAGACCTGCGAAGCATTTCGACGCCTTTCACACAAATATCGTCGACTCGTGACTTGGGAGCCACTACGGGAACTATCTACTTCGAAGTAACACACAATCAGTCGTGTTATTCCACATGAGGATGCTGCTGCGTGGTGGAGGGGAGGGAGTCGAGCCATGCCTGGGTTTGGGTGGGGTGGGTGAAGTGATGCACGACGAGATGGGGAAATTGCTGAAACAGTAGCGGGTACTCTCGCTTCCGGTTCCAGTACGTTTTGAACAGCCAGTGCACGAGCGAGTGTTTTGACCAAAGCTTTAGGTGGACCCAGAGAGACTCGTAGTTGGTGCCCCACAGCAGCTCCTGGGTCCACCACCGAGACACACTGCGACGCACCAATTGCCACAACACCGTCCAAAACGGGTAGTCGAGCCACACCACGACGTTTGCTTGAGTGAGCACCAACTGCCGCACTTCGCTGGTGTTACCAGCCATCACCCACGCCGACGCAGCGGTTGCGATCGTCATTTTCTGGACATAGTCAGCCGCTTTTTGCCACTTCGGCGCCCACAGTAACGCGTCTGATTCAATGAAGGGCACACCCAGCTTGTTGGAGATGACCATTCCTAGCGTGGACTTTCCACTGGAGGTTACCCCCATGATGGCAATGCGACTTGGTTGGGGCAGCCCCATCGTGCACATTAACCAATGCAGCAATCCATTGGAGTTGGGCAGATTTCACGTCCATCACTCACGGCAGCATTCCAGAATGCATGTACATCATATGTTAAATGTACAGTTGTACGTTAAAAGTCAGTATAACCACATGCAAATGAATTGACACGCAATCCATTCATCAGCGCGATGCCGCAACACTTTGAGAAGGCAGTTGTGGTGGGAGTGAGCGGCGCAGGCAAGTCGACCCTTGCGCAAGCTCTAGCGACGAAGTTGAAGCTCGCCTTCATTGACACGGATGCCTTGTTGTGGGAGCCAAATTGGCAACGCGCCATCGACTACGACGACAAGCTCACCAAAGCTTGTGACGGGCCAACGTGGGTCGTGGCAGGCGCTGACAAGGTCGCGTTGAGTCGCGCCACGACGGTCATCTGGCTGGACTATTCGCTCTGGACTACGTTTTGGCAGCTCTTTTGGCGAACCATGAAGCGGTGCTGGACGCAAGAGCTGTTGTGGGGCACGAATCGGGAAAGCATTTGGGTGCAACTGCAATTGTGGTCGCCCAACTCGGTGTTTCACTGGCTCTTCAAAAACTACTGGGCGCGCAAGCGGGCGTACCCTGCTCTGCTTGCGCAATACCCGCACTTGACGGTGCATCATTTCAAATCCCCCAACGAAACCTCTGCGTGGCTGCGCAGTTTAAGCCCGACGTCTTGATCACGATCTGCAGTGAATGAATATCCACTTTGCAGTGGAATATCCACGTGCGGAATTTGTTTATGCTTCGACCAATAAAGTATAAATGGTGCTTTCTTCGAACCCCCGAACCGCATAGTACTTGGCCGTAAATCAGTATATTCTGCACCAGGGCTTCTCGTTGCTGTAGACATGCCAGGCCAAACAACGAGGGCTCCTCTTGGAATACAGAAACTAAAACTAAATGTTCATAATATATCTATGCCGATACTAGCATTCTCGTTTCACGTTGGTGATATCTACCGGTTGTACCGTAGACGAGTTACAGAGTTTACGTTTGTTAGCCGGGCTAAAGTAATACAGTAGGGTTGCCTACTTCGGTCTCGGCAACACTGCCCTCCTACTAGTCAGCCCCACTAATTATTGTTAACGTTAGGAACTGTATAACTACAGCTAAGTATAGTGGCCAAGATCGGTCGCTACTGCTGATTTAATACTGCCGGTTGTAGTGCAAGTGTGGGCTGATTGATATCTACGGTGGACCATACTTTGAGTGCATGCTGTACGCTCGTGTAATCGGTTTCTTCAAGACCTGTAGCCGTTTCATTCAAACAAGTGAACAGACACTTTCCAATATAGCCATTGAAACGAAGGTTACGTTGAAACCTCAACCGTGGCGCCGCCTCACTCTTCAGAATGAGCTTCCTCCGCAGACTTCTGCCTCTGTGGAACCGCTACGCATACACGCGACCAGCACAGCACTCCCCACCCCATCGTTCGCGGCGACGTCGCGCCCGGCAGTTGCGCCAGCTTCGTGAATGCCTCTACATCGTGTTGTACGTTGTCCAGCTCCTGTACTACCTCTGGAGCATCCCATTCCGACTGGGCTTTATCTTCGACCCGTACTATGACGACTTCACACACACGATCGACGCAGTTGTATGGCCATACATCGTGCTGGACATTGCAGCCGACTCGTTTGGCGCGGTCAACTTTTACTACTTTCTTCACGCTCGAGGGTTTCTCTCAGTGATTGGCCGTGGTGCCACTGAAAGCGCACACAATGGAAAGGCATATGGGCATAACCAAGCCAGCTCCCGCCACGTAGCGCGACATGGTGAAGACAACGTTGCTAGCAACATGGCAGGCGGCGCCCCCCTCGTCCTGCCATACAAGCACGGCCATCCCCCTCATGCGACAGCTGAGGGCAACGCCCCCGAAGACCGTGACGCGACAGTGTCATTTCGCCACTTGAACTTCATCACGAGCATCTCGGCGCGCACATTGACCCATATTCCGTCCCTGCAGCTTCTTCTCGAAGCCGTGGCGTTGCTGCCCATCGAAGTGGTCGTGTATTATATGTGGGGATTCAATGCCGTGCACGTTGCCCGCGTGGTCAAATTACTCCGGCTGACCAATCTCAATCGCGCCGTGAGTGCGTTCAAAACGTACCTTGCGACGCACAACCTCCTCGTCCACCTGCACAACATCGCCAAGGGCTTCTTGGTGAGCATGGCGCTGTTCAACTTGGTCCTCTTCCACTGGATTGGATGTGGCTACATGCTGATGGCGCACCTCGAATGCGGTCGTCACTTGGACCTGTGTACGTCTTCGTCCGCAGAGAGCGCCACGTCATCCAGTAGCGCACATCATCGTGCCCTGTCAAGCTCCGAGGCGGCGGTCATCACAGGAAAAACGTGCTGGGCGATTGAAAAGCAACTGGCCGACCTCGACCTCTTCCCCCAGTACATTCGCACGATGCTCATCGTGACGTACGGCGACGCCACGTCATATTCGTTTGCAGAGCGATGCGTGTCCATCGGCATCCAACTCGCTCGCGCGCTCATGAGTTGCGCCATCATCGGCAGTTTTGAATTGGTTTATGGCCATCAAAACACAAACCGATCGGCGTACATTGCCCTTCTCGAGGACGCCAGGGAGGTTGGTCATCACGTTGCCATCTCGTCGTCGTGTTTGTCACATGATTGGGTTGATTTTAGTATTCCAAGTCGCGAAATTTGCCCGTGCAATTGCGCAACAAGGTGCTGGGGTACTTTGACTATTTCTGGCGCGTCCAACTGGGCATTCTCGAAAACAACATCGTCGCGATGCTGCCGATTCATTTTCAAACGCAGTGCATCGACGTGCTCAAGGCGCAAGTCATCGCCAAGGTAAACAAACTGTGATTCGTGGCCATTCATTGTTCACCCACCATCATCGTTGACTTGGTAGGTGCATTTTCTATCGGACGAACGACCCAACGTGATTCAAAACCTCGCCACGTTGCTCACGTCCCAAGTGTACATGCCACTGGATTGGATCACCAAGAACATTCGCATCCGGGAAATGTACTTTATCTCCCGCGGTCGTGTCGTGTTGGTCGACAACTTTGACAACATCCAGTTCAAGTTGAACCAGGGCGACACGTTTGGGGACATTTCCCTGTTTGTCGAAAATGGATTTGCGTATAAGGCCCTCGCCGAAACATTCTGCGAACTGTACCAGCTCAACCGGGACGTGTTTGAGACTGTCTTGAGCGCGTTTTACACGGACCAAGACGCGCTAGAAGCCAAGCGCATGGCCATGACGGCTGCGATCGAGCAACGTGAGCACCAATTGCTCAAAACCCAGAAATTACTCGGCCAAATGATTTCGCTGCAAACGTTGCTCACCAACCACGACCGCAGCACCAGCAAGTGGACCCTTCCAAACTCAAAGTACGATTATGATATACGTATATACACGATCATCTGACGACACATGTCCGTTTGCACCAAAATGATATATATATATATATATATATATATATATATATCATGGTAGGTTTCGCACGATTTGGTCGGCGTTGTTCCTGGCGTCGCTTGTGTACGTGGCGGTGGAAGTGCCGTACAAACTCATCTTTTTCAACTCGCAAGACGTGACGGACTTCCTCCTCAACAAATTAAACTACGCGATGGCCATGGGCATTGAAATCTTCCACGTGGCGCATATTGTGCTCATGATGCGGCACTTTGCCTTTGAAGACAAGTCGTCGATCGTCAACACGGCGCCGGTCGTGGATTCGGACTTGATCTTTGCACGGTACAAAGAGTCGCGGGATTTCTGGTGGGACTTGGCGGCCGTGGTGCCCATCGCGCTGGTCGGCGACCTCATTCCGCAAGCCACGTGCGTATTCGATCGACTTGATGTCGGACACCTGATATATATATTATTGTTTTTATGCTATCAATAGAGGCTCGTTTGTGCAAGTTCTGCGCACCGGACGGGTGCTGCGCCTGCTTCGCATGCGATACTTCCAATCCGTCTTATCCGAAGTGCTCGAAGCATATCACGTGAGCACGTCCATGAAAACGGTGGTCTACTTGTCCCTGGGGGTGCTCTTGGTCACGCACATCGCGGGATGCTTTTGGTTCTTGGTGGCGGACCTCCAAGTACCCCGCGCTATCGTTTACGGCACCGAGTGGGTTCGCAATGACTTTACGATCGAAAAATGCATGCACGACGGTGCGCATTATGCCAACTGCACGTGGTTTCTCTATGACGCTGTGCACTACCCCCACAACGCCGAGTACAAAGCAAAACACATATACTCCACCTTCCCCCAACCCCCCCTGATTTCCCATGTGTAGGTACCCCCGGTCGCTGTTTTGGTCGGTGATGACCCTCACGTCGGTGGGCTACGGCGTGATCTTTCCGTTCACGACCGCCGAGTGTGTGTACGCGTTTGCGTGGTTCTACGTCAGCGGGCTGATCAACTTTGGAGTGATCGGCGCGATTTCATCGGCGATTGCGCAACTCATGGCGAATGAAAACCGCACACAGGACACGTTGCTGTTGATCAATCGGTTCATGAAGTTCAAAGGCGTGAGTCCGACCGTGCAAACCGACATTCGACGGTATTACAAGAACCAATGGGTGCGGGAAAAAGGTGTGAGCGAAGAACTGTTTCTGTCTGTTCTCCCCAACAACGTCCAGCACGAAATCCTCACGTTTCTGCATGCGAATACGCTGCGCCACGTGAGCCTCTTCCACGACACGGGCGACGAATGCAAACAAGTGATCGCGTCGATTATTCGCCACGAAAGCTACCAGGCCGGCGGCATCGTTCTTCGCGCAGGCGATTTGGGCTGCGACCTGTACATCCTTCGGTCAGGCAACGTCGAGCTGCGCACGCTCGATAACACCCCCATGCGCATCTTGCACCCCGAGGACTGCTACGGCGAGTACAACTTTGTGCTGGAGGTACCGTACAAGTCGACGATGCAGGCCATGGCGTCCACGGAACTGAGTGTGCTCAGACGCAACGAGTTTGAACAAATCATCAAGTTCTTCCCCGACGAGTGGGACGACATTTACCACCGCGCGCTGGCCGCGCAAGGGCAGGAAGAATCGCTGTGGGCCCGCATGAAAGCAAACATGCGACGCGACAAACTGGTTCGTCCGACTTTTGACATCTGCATCGAGTATCTGATTCTGAGTCACATATCTATTCGAGTCCCCAATACGACATCTGAGTCGAACGATCTGATTCTGAGTCACATATCCCAGTCGAGCTCGGGGTTCGTTGACTTGAGTGACGCGTCTGATGCATTGTTGACATCCGAGAACCTGACACTTTAGAAATGATAGATCAACTTGACTCGGCACAGTGTGACGTTGTACGTGACGCCGCCCCGGGAAACCGGCGTGATTCCACCAGGCCATCCGTTCCGGTTGGCGTGGACTGTGCTGTTGGCTGTGGCAATTCTGTACAATCTGTTTGTAGTCGTGTTTCGGTTGGCGTTTTTGCAGTATCCGTCCGATGCCACCATGAGTGTGTTGTGGACGTCCAACTTGCTCTTTGACAGCGTGTACTTTGTCGACATGTACCTCAACTACTGGCACTTTACCGTGGACCTGGACGGGTTTGTGCACTTGGACATGGCCGAGTCACGCGCGTACTACCGCCAGAACCACTTTCGCCGCAACGTGTTGGCGAGTTTGCCCTTGTACTATGTCGGCAACACGTACGCGATGGCGCTGTGCCGCGTCCCTCGGCTCTTGCGCACGGCGGAACTGCCGGCGATGGTCACCCGTTTCCAGCTGTGGATCCAGGAAAACGTCGTGAGCGCCAAGCTCACGGCCTTTCTTCGCCTAGTGAAGCTGCTGCTGGTTCTCATCGTCGTGGCCCACATCACCGGCGCCATCTACTACTTCCTCGGCGACCCCACCACTCACGAGCACGACGACGTCAACGTGAGCCACGAGTGGTTTGTCATCGACTTGATCATCCGCCATTACAATGGCAACGCCCTCGTCGCGTACATTCGGTCGTTTTATTGGGCGCTTACCACCGTACGTTGTGATGTGTCATGTGGCTGACACTTGGAGAGGGTAATAACTATCAATTGAACAGGTCACGGCGATGGACTATCGAGATATTCACCCGGCGAGCAATGTCGAGACGTACTATTCGTGCTTGGCGTGCTTTGCAGGGTTCTTCTTTGTGGGCCAGGTGATTGGGCAGCTCACGTCGATCATTGTGCACATGGACAAGGTACACACACAATCACCTTCGGTCCCATCTTGTTGACCATAATATGGTGCGGTGGGTGTAGAAAGCCAATGAATTCGATGAACGCATTGAAAACTTTGACGAGTACGCGCGGTCCCAGAACTTGCCGCGTTTTCTGCTCGAGCGGGGCCACCAGTACTTTCAGTACCAGTTCGACTGTACACGAGGCATGGAGGCCGACGTGATCTTCAGCGAACTGCCCCATAGTTTACGCATGAAACTCTTTTACGACTTGTACGGGCATCGCTTGCGCGGCTTGACGCTTTTCCACGCCATGGACGCAGGTATAGTCAATATCTTCCAGCATCTTCATATTCGTTTGACGGTGTCGGTTCCCTGGCAGCGACGCTCGCGAGCATCGCCGAGCGGTTGATTCCGGTGCTTTACCTTCCCCATGACAACATCATCCTCGAAGGCGGGACCGGCGCCGCGCTGTACATCATGCACCAAGGCCGCGCCGAAAAGTACGTGCGTAAACACAACTTGGTGGTCGCGGCGGTGCACGAAGGCACAATGTTCGGGGAGCTGGCTTTCTTCCTGCCCCACATGACCCACGCAACATCTGTTCGCGCGGTCACGTGCTGCGAGTTACTGCGACTGGAAAAAGCTGACTGGGTCAGTCTCTGGCCCGAAACCCGCCGGACAGCGATGGAGGACGCGATGACGTCTGATTTGGACGGCAAACATGCCTACCTGACCATGGCCACGGCCAACATTGTCAAGAATCTCGTGGCCTCCAAAGGACCCAACCCCCACGTCAAAGTGCGCAAGCAGCTGCTGTCGCGTCTGCGCCGCATGCCTACGTACGGTCGCACCAGCGCGATCGTGTTCAAGAAGTTGGCGGCCAAGGCGTCGGTGATCACGCCCGTTCGAGACAAGTTCAAACCGCAAAAGGACAAATACTCCAAGGCAAACACGGCGACGACGAGGGTTCACCCCGTTCGGACCAACGAGCAGGACAATGACTGGGGTGAAAAGACCAACCCGACGTTGATCAAACCCATGAAGAAACCCAAGCCCCACCGTATCATCAAGTCGAGTTTCAAGCCCAACAACGCCAACAACAGCGGCAAGTCGGCCAAACGCATGCGTGCGCGACTCAACAGCGTCAAGATGATCTACGCATCGGACTCGGCCACATCGAATCGGTCGATTCAGTCCGTGACCGAGCGCAGCAGCGACAACGCTGCCCTAACCCTTGCCCAAGACCTGGGGTTCGATGACGACGACGACGACGACGGGAGCGACGACGAGGTGCTGGACGACTCGAACGAGCACTTTCAACAGTTGAATTTGCTCCGACGGGCGTATATCGGCGTACAGGAGAGAGTGGGCCCCGAATTGCTGGAAATGGCGTCGATTTGGGGCGACTTGCAGTTGCCCCCCGAGTGGTCTCGTCCGCACTCGCACTTTCGAAAGACGTGGGACCTGTTCATGTTGGCTGCGGTCATGTACTATAGCGTGGCTGTGCCTATGCGCGCGAGCTTTATCATCCCGGTGAGTGTACACACACACAACATGATGGCTGACTTTTTGTTTTTGTTGGATGCGACGGTAGGAATTGATGGGAGCGGACGGCACAGAGTCCAATTTCCCGCTGTGGCTCGGCGTCGAGTTTGTCGTGGATATGGTGTCCCTGATTGACGTGTACTTTCGGTTCAACTACTTTTGCCAAGTGATCGGCGGCGAAGTGTCGTCGGAGTTGCGACTTATCCGGCACCACTACCGCACCAAAGGGGGGCTCTGGTTTGACGTGGTGGCCATGCTTCCCTTGGAACTCGTGGGCATTATGATCCAAGGCTACACGTACTCCGTGTCCACGTGGCGGTTCAACAAACTGCTGCGCCTGTACCACCTCGGGTCATTGAACGCCAAGGCTCGCGACGCTGTGACATTGCACTTCAAGTCGGTGGCGTGGCTGCCGCGGCTGTGGTCGTTTTGCAACATCTGCGGCATCTTCGTGCTCGTGGGCCATTGGGTGTCGTGTTTGTGGTTTTACATTTCCGTGGTCGGGGGCGACGCCAGCCTCGTGTTTTACGCTCACTCGTCCGAGTCGTTCGTGACCCCCCACGGCTACACCCCCGTGGACACACTCCAGTCGGCATATGTCAAGTCGTTCTATTACGCCATGACGTCCCTGACTAGCATCACGTTTGGCGACATCTACTCGACGTCGCTCGCTCAAACGATCGCGACGATTTTCATCATTTTCACGTCACTCACTGCCTACGGGGTGCTCACGGGGGGCTTTACCGAGATCTTTGAAGTCGAGTTAAAAAAACGAGTCAAGTTTGAAGAGCAAACGGGCACCGTGTCCATGTTCCTCATGCACCGGCAGTTCCCCCGCCAATTGACGATTCAAATCTTAGAGTACTTTCGCAACATGTGGGAGCACTCCGAGGGCGTGGTCGAGTCGCAGGCGCTGGCTCCGCTGTCGTCCGCCCTCCGCGAAGACATTGCCGTATATGTCAAGCGCGACTTGATCACGAAAGTGCACTTGTTTTCCGACTGCGACCAAGACTTTACACGGGCGATTGTGTCGGTCCTCCAGGCCGAGTTTTTCGTCGCCAAGGACGTGATCATCCGGGAAGGCGACTACGATCGCAGCATGTACTTTATTCACACGGGGTTTGTGCTCGTAACCAACGCCGCAAAAAGTTACGAAGTGATCAAACGCAAGGGCGACTTTTTTGGGGAAATGTCGCTCCTCCACAACACGCCGCGGTCCGGCAGCTGCAGCGCCCTCTCCAACTGCGATATGTTCATTCTCGACTATGACTCGTACGAGTACGTGCTGGAGCGGTTCCCACGCTACCGTTCGAGGAACTTGCGGAATTGGTGCGCCGTGCATCTATCGACGACCGAGCCAAGGGGGGACAACCTGCCCGCGACTTCCCACAACCACCAAGGAGGCGACTACCCGTTTGAAGAAAACAGTCATCCCCCAGAAGATGGACAAGAAGACCCCCCTCCCCCTGGGAATGCGATGCAACTGCAGTCGCTCTCTGACATCGAACACAACGCCGATGGTAGGAATAATTCGACACTAGACGAAGCAGCTGCGTTTGACGAGGAGCCGCTTCGTATAAAGTCTCAAATTCTAACCCGGGAATCTGTGCTGCATATCGTGCACCCGCGCACGCATCATGCTGCATCGGGCCATCGCGAAGGGATGATCGGGTCGTCGTCGCACATACCGCCGCCCTTGGTTTGGCAATCCACGCCGTCCAAGTTGCGCAAATCGCCTTCGTCGCATGCTCTCGACGCTCGACGGCCGCTCTCAGCGTCCAAGTCGTTGAAGGATTTGAACGACCCCTCGCCGTCGTTGATGCCCAACGGCGGCGACCTCGACTCGTCTATCGACGCTAGGCTCATCACCAACAGCGGCGGCACGTTTACACGAAGGGCCACGTATTCGCAGCTGACGATGGACGCCGTTGCGATGCGTCGGATGTCGGCGATGTGGATGGAAGCACAAGCCAGCAGTCCGCGGGTCATGCACCGGGCCGCGTCGTTACCGTTCCACGGCTTAACGATGCCGCGCGACTCAACCACCCACGAAGTGGCCACAGTTGCCGCCAAGCAAATGGCGGTCAATATCCTGCGACATCGAGCCGTGCATACTGCCGCGGCCACGTCGAGTTCGTCCACGTTGGATGGCATGACACGCCGGATGAGCGTCGACAAAATGACTCGGAGCACGCCGAGGTGATTGAGGTTATGGCCATCCCCCCCCTCATGGCAACTCCTTGTCAAAATTCATTGTGGGGGGACGCTGAGAGATGGTAGAATGTAGGGTGTAAGGCTAAGCAATGCTGCTGTTTTGGACAGGTGTGTATGTGTGTGCACTCTTTGTTCGTCTTGCAAGTGTGATATGTATGTAATACATGCGACAGAGGGTTAACAAGGCCGTTTTCATGATGGTAATAGAAAGATAGAGATTGACTAGGTTAAACGATACAGTTTTTGAGTGGGAGGTGGGGTTTTTTACTACTGTGAGTAGCGCTATCGATGGGCTTTCGGATCTTGGCGTGACCCTTGGCCCACGAGTAGAAGAGGACGCCCGCCACGACAAACAGAGTCGCAATTCCTCGCTTGGCGTCAAAGCATTGCGATTCTTGACGGCTACACATCATGTTGAACAACTATGACAATGCTATACAATATATAACAACATGCACCACCACCACATCTTCACGTTGTCACACACAACAACCACGTCGCAGTTATTATCAGTACCTGCAGTACAACACGGAACTCAATCCAAACACGCACACGGCTCGCAGGCTTTGCATGATGCCCGTTGTGACTGCGCCGCACGACCCCAGCATCATAAAGTACGTCAGTCCATGCGCCAATTGCGACAGAGTGTACAAGGAGAGCGCCCCGAGGATGCGCAGGGGGTCGCCGTGCGCTTCCATCACCGGTTCTGTGACGATGTGTGTCCACTGCGGCAGGACCCAGAACATTTGGTACACAGAGATGATCGTGACACAGCAAATGCCCATCTTCAAGCACAGGTCCTTTGGTTCCGGTCGCTCTGGCAGCATCAAGATGAACTCCCCCGTCACTACAATGTCATTGGAGGGAGGACTATCGTTTGTCCTGGAGAGTCCTATGTGTACCATAGTTGCCGCCGTAGAATGCAGCTCCGATCAACGTGTTCACGCAGCCCATGAGCACGTAGCCAGCATTTCGACCGCCGTTGGATTGGCCCATGGCGCTAAAGGCCAGTCCGAACGTGACGATGGCAATCCCTAGCCACTCGTACTAAACGACATGTGAGGAGGTAGGTCTCTCGAAAGAGCACAGGGTGTGTGTGCGTGTTGTCGTACTTGGGACGGTTGTTTCTTTAAAAAGATCTTGGACAGCAGGGCTGACCAGCACACGACTACCCCAGACGAATGACATGAGTGGTGGTGGAGGATACGATGTCAATAGAGCAAGGCGACGGTACCAGAGGAGTAGAGGACTTGAAACACGCCGCTTCCAGCCATGGAGAGACCAATGTTGGCAAAGATGCAACCTCCGAAATCCAACACAACGTTCAGGAGCAACATGCTTTGCATGACCGACAACGACCCCACGCTGCTGCCGTCGTGCTTCAACGGCGCCTTCAAATCGGCCAAGCTGCTGCTGATGGTGCTGGCCGTGGTCAACGACGTAGAGACGAGCGGGACTTTGTCGCTGATGTCTTTCATGTCGACGTTGATGTCCTTTTCGGCTTGTCGTCGAGTGAGTTCCATGTCATCTCGCTTCAACAACGATTCCGTCCTGGCCAACGCCGCGGCGGCGGAATCGTCGTCGTTCTTCTTCTTAAGAATGCTCGCAGTAGGATGATGGGAATCGCTGGAGCTCATGGATGGAATCACACCCACGAGCATCATGCCCAAGTAGTTGCACAACGGCAGCAGCATGGCTCTTTGCGCTATAGCAAGGGCGACGAAGTGAGGTTGACGTCATCAAGGGGTCAAGTAGCGTACCTCCTGCGCCTTGGTAGAACACGTACTGCGCCGCGCATGTGGAGAAGACCCCTGTGAAGAGGAATACCGCTTGGACGCATAGAAGGCCATACCCAGAGCTCATGGTGGTTGGTGTCGACTTGGGCTTTGGATCGGCCGGCGACGGCTTGGGAATTGAGTTTACAAAATGGACCAATCACAGTCGTGCACATATCTGGATATTCAACTAATTAGTCCTGTCAATACAAAACTCAATGTCCCAACTACAGCACCACAACTGGTTGTCGATGCCAGCGCTTCTGTACAAGAGCCCATTAGTTGCCTGCCTTGGTCCTTATTGTACTAGTATGCTCCCTGTGCTATAACGATGGAGGCTGACGTGGCGGTTTGGGGCGTTCACTACAGTTAACTAGCCAGTATATCCCAAGAATGACGTGAGTAATGGAATCACCCAGAATTGTTCATGAAACTTTATCTTATTATTTGTAAGGTACTTCTCGTGACTTGTCACAACAACTGTACTACACGTGTTTTACACGTTATGTGCGTGTAAATCCCACAAGAAAATAGGGTACGCTGTGAGAGTAGTAGTACTAATTCTACTACTAGTAGTAGTAGAATTCGAATATCGAACACTCAAAATGAAACCGCTAAATTACGACGACGTACTTACACGACCATGATGCGATGGGTTGCGCTGATGCTAGCGTTGGCCTCTGGCTTCTCTGCCACGATGCATGAACCTAACGTCCTCCTCCAGACAGCGTCGTCGTCGCTACTATTACAACATGGCACGGCAAGTGCCGCTTCGGTCAACGACATCAATGCAACACACATCCTCGCCCCAGACACGAATAGGTGGAAGGCTTCATCCAATGCGTCCAATTCCACCACGCGCTTGAACCCTCCACAACAACCACCGATTGTTTGGCCATCGTCGAATACCTCATCTGACGACGAACCACCGACTGCTACGTTGGTTTGTATGGTGCTCGTGGTTATGGGTTGCATTGGGTTTTGCTGCCTCTCGTGGCTGACTTACAGGTCACGCGAACCTGCACCTGTTCAAACCAAGCTGCCAGTAACCAACGGCTACGTCGCAATGTAACGAAGTGAGTTTGAATGCTTTGAACAAGTTGAGAGTAATAACAACTTGATGCAGCGTACATATCTCCTAGGTTGTTGAGATATGCCTCCATTCTTTGCAGCATATCAATATATCTCAGCACGTGTACATCAATGCATGGCGCAGCGCGTGGACTACTAGTTATCGTAAATACGAAACCACGTTGTGACTCCCGTGTGATTGGGGCAAACTACCCTTTCTAAAAGATTACAATCCAAACACCAGAAGTTGTCATCGAGAGGCTAATGATCGATTTGGCAGCAAGTGGCGCTTTCGAATGCAACACATGATTGCGGCAATTACGACTCGAGCTTTAATTCAACATATACGTCGTCGTTGTCGCTGGTCGCAGCGTCCCGGTGGCAAAGCTTCCGCCAGGATGCTGCGAGTATGGTCAGTGCGAATATCACGATGCACACCACGAGCATGACGTAGAATGGGGTTGACCCGACAAGGAACGACATGGGTTGGACAGGCTTTGCGATCACACTGGGAGTGGTGATCTCGGCGGTGGCCATGGGTACTGGCGCTGTGGCAATTAGTGCAATGCTCCGTGACTTGGTCCTGGACGTTCTGGTTCACGGCTCTTCGTGACAACCAGTTCAATGAAATAGCGGTTTCATGGTTTCACATTTCAATCGGACAAAGTGATGCATCATTGGCGCAAAATCCGAAAACTATACGATTATATCCAATCATCGTGCGTATATCAAGCGCTCAACCGAACACAATCTTCAGGATGGACCACCTCACGACCACATCGGGCAGTGTGTACACACTTCAGCAGCAGTTCCAGTCGCGGGACGTGCTTCTCGATGGTAAATCCCTGCGCATCCATCACATGGCCAAGCACATCCATCCTGCCATCGACGGCGATGTGCCTGTGAAGAACCCATGGAATAAGAAGGTTTCCATGTCGATTGTCGACACCAAGACGTACATCCCATACACCGGCCAAGCTCAGTCCACTTCCACATCCGACACGTTTATCCTGCACAACTTCGGCGACTACCTCTTTCTGTATCCGTTTGACAACATGCAGGTTTGACTTGACCGTCCTCTCTTACGACGTGCACACACTCACTTTGTAGACTCCTGTGGACATCATGCGCTTCTCACATGCCCCAATATGCCATGACTTCCGAGTCCCGATGCTGTCAGTGCAGCCCACGAATTTGGTCTTGGCGTTGCTGTCCAATGACGTTCTTGTGTTTGATCCACTGCATGGGCTGGACACTTTTTCCCACCACAACCGCAATGTAACATTTCGACCGCTCATTCCGGAAGTATTGACCCAGTTGGCACTGATGCTAGGGCGCGGTGTGCTGCAGCCCCATCACAACCACGAAATGGGTACAACAAAGTCACACCGAGTTTGTCGTGGCCCACGAGAATGGAGCCATCTACGTGTACGACCACACGTTCCCAGACGAGTCGTCCGAGTTCATGGACGTGGAGCAGCCGGAAGGAGAGTTCACTTTACTGTTGCAACGAGAAGACCGAACCAACCCCGTGGCGTGCTGGCACGTGTCGACGCAAGCGATCTACGATGTGTCGTTTTCGCCCAACGGCAAGTACCTCGCATGTGTTGGCAAAACCGGGGCCTTGATTGTGTTTCAATACCACATGCAGCGGTAATTCTCTGTACTCTTTCACGATTGTTGCAGTTTATATCTCGTCAAACCTAAGCCATACGTGTGTTTTGTGTATAGGAAGATCGCCATGATGCAAAGTCACTTTGGCGCCCTCACGTGCTTGGCGTGGAGTCCCAACAGTCTGTACATATTGGTCTGTCTATTGAATCTTTTGTGATATACCATCCTTCATGCATGCGGCCTTGCGTCCTTCGGTAGACTGGCGGCCAAGACGACGTGGTGACGGTGTGGAGCTTGCAGCATAATACGGCCCTTGCGCGGTGCGAAGGCCACAACTCTTGGGTATGTATGACTCGTCTTCGATTCTTTTATTTTGTGAGTAGAAAATATCTCTTGATCGAGTGTGTAGGTAACCAGCGTCGCATTTGATCCGTGGTTTTCATCGCACACGGCTGTGCGATTTGGGTCGGTGGGTGAAGACGGGGTCTTGTGTCTGTGGGACTTGACCATTCCCCAAGTAAAAAAAGCACTCAAAATCTCTTGCATCATGTTGATTTCGATTGATGACTATGCATGGCGTTGGTGATTTCCCTTGAAGAAGCATGGCCAACAATATTAACAACGTAGGACGACGCCAAGCTCTACGACGTGGCGCCCGTGCTTTGTGCCAAAGTAGCGCCACATCCACTGACCCACATCGTGTTCCACGCGACGTCCATCGCTGTGACGGGGCGAGATGGGTCGCTTCTCATGTACTCCCGGCCTGCGTCCGACGTCTTGCCGGCCACCGACTTGGCTCAGATCGTGCCATCGTATGCGTTCTAGTAGCAAGTTTTTTGCACTTTTGAATAAGACAACACACCACGTCACTTAACAATAATGCCTCGAAATTGCATCGAATCACGTGGGCACGGTCGATGGTCGGGGCTGCGCCCGTATCCCGCGCCTGGAGAGGCTGTCCGGCGCCGTGTGGATCTGTCGGCGCTGTCCCCCCGGGGCCCGCGCCTGTTTCATTTGAATGACGCGGTACATGTCTTGGCATTGCTGCATCGTGTCATGGGCTTGACGCTCGGCGTCGGAAGCAAAGTCCGTTTTGACAAATTCCCACTCGGCTACATGCACCCGACCGGAGCATTCCCTCTTTTTGACCCATTTGCCACCACTTCGATATTTGGGGGGGGGGTTGGACGCCGTCGGCGTGGTGGATGATGGCGGCAAAGGTGCAGGCAACACTGCTTTGGGTTTGACAATTGACCAAGTAGATTCTGATGAGAAAGGAGGATCGCGGAATGGCACGGTTGTTGTGACGGCGATAGTCGTGGGGGCTCGTGGGGGAAGGGAGCGTAGTTGGTCTTTGAGTGCACTCGCAAGCGCAACGGCGGCGACCGAGTGGCGGGGCTGGATTGTTGTGGCCACTGGATGTGGTGGTGGCGTCGCTAACGATGGCAAGGATTGGAGGAGTAGAGTTTGCACAGGTCCTTGGAACGTGTGGAGTTCTTGGGCTATGGAAGGAAACTAGAACCCAACCAGTGACAGTTTGATATGGATGATGCGAGTTCAACGAGCTTACCTTGACGCAGCAAGTATTCGGCCGAGCGGGGGCTTGAATGGTAGCTTTGCACTCGAGGAGGAGTGCCACCAAGTCGACCCGGCCAAGGCGTGCTGCCACGAGCAATGGGGATACGCCGACCTAAACACATGGCTTTTATTACCTGCAGTAGTAAAGTACAAGCTGTTCAAACCGAGTCTGCGATGTTCACGTCAGCCCCATTCTCAATCAACCACACCGCCACGTTCAAGTGTCCCCTCGCAATCGACATGTACAACGCCGTTTGATGCAGCTACTCGTGATTAGTTGGTATGGTTAGTAGCTACTGTAGTAGGTACAGTAGTACTTATTACTTTGTTGAAAGCATTCACGTCGCCGCCGTAGAGCAGGACGATTTGCAGTGTCAACAGGTGCTTCTTGGTGCCGCCATGGATGCCGGCTTCAGGACACCCTCTACACCATGCATGAACGTGTACAGTACTTGTAAATCGAAGTTGGGTACCGCGCAGCACAGATCATGGGCGTGTCGTCTCGCGCCTACTGACATAGATCTATGACACTCTGACAGAGCTTTCTGTACGTGTTGTCGCCTTGTACGTACATATACATCGTCCTCTTCAAAACACTTTTCGTTGGGGTCGCCGCCGAGCTTAAAGTACCGACTGGCCGTGTGGTGTTTGCCTTTGGCACAGGCGTCGTGGATGACCACGAATGGATCAGCGTCGTCTGTACGCATGTACGTCAGACCGTAAACGAATCCACTTGAAGGCAGGGAGTTCATGGAAGTACCCAAGTATCCGTCCGAGATGTCGATGGGGGTCGTAAAGTAGTCCGATACGGCCGCGCCCATGTGTAAAAAGGACGTCGCCAAGGCTATAAATAGTGGACATTTGTACTTCAGCACTCGTGAGAGGATGCGATGTGTGTATGAAATGACGAACGTTGGATGGGTAGGGCGACATGAGCTACCGATTTGAGACTTTTGGTGAAGTTTTTGTATACTTCATGGGATTAATTATTGCTGTTGCCACACACAACAAGTGATGATTAGAAGGATGACTCAATGCGCCATGTTCCGACCAAAGGTTTCAACCCGCTTGTGCCTTCTTCGCAGGCCATCCACTGCTGTGCGCTTCCATTTGCGCAGCATTTGCCTGGCTTGCTCGCGCGTCTACGTCGTGCAATTAAGCTATACCTTGGTGAAAATGATCTGGAAAGTATACATCACTTCTACTATACGACCACTGTACCGTGTCCGATTCAGTTCGCCGATACAACTGCACGAGGGCTTTCCCAATGTCCGTTTGTTCTAGCAGCTCCAGGGAGATGAACCGTCCATCAAGTTCGCGGAGGAGGAGGGGTAGTTCGCGTTCTTCGCTCGTGTTCATCACTTGGGACAGTTGCATGATCTCCTCGACCACTTCCACCTTGGAGCCATGCTCAATTCGCGTTTGTCGCAACCGTCCGTTGGGCTTGACTGTATTGGTGTTGTCTTCGGCGGCCGACTTAAGGAATCGGTCCATCTTGATGTCGCAATTTGAAAACTCAAACGTCTAACCTTTCAAATCACATACCTCTGGATATGACATACTTCTATAAATTGATGAATTTGATTGTCCACCTCAAATCGCCCGAGAATTGATCTACTGTAGCGACACGGAACCGCGACCGTGATACGACATGACGACAAAGAAGCCCAAGGACAAGAGCCTGGGCTTGATGGCTGCTGGCGGCATGGCAGGCGTGGTGGCCAAGACGGTCGTCGCACCCTTTGAGCGCGTGAAGATTGTCTGCCAGACCGGTGAGTCCTCGCTCGGCATGATCGCGACTGCCCAGCGCATTGTGCAGACCGAGGGTCCTTTCGGTTTCTGGCGTGGCAACTTTGCTGCGTGCGTACGCATTCTTCCACACAAGGCAGTGTTGTTCGGGTGGACCGACATTTACAAGGACATGCTCGCGTCTCAACAGCACGTTGCCATCGACCGTGCGCACCTCGGCTTTATCGCCGGAGCGTGTGCTGGGCTCACCGCGTGCATCCTGACGTACCCGCTGGACTTTATCCGTACGCGCATGTCTGGCAAGATTACGTCCCAAGCGCAGTACCGCGGCATGCTCCACGCCTTCGTCACCATCGTCCGCGACGAAGGTGCGTTGTCGCTGTTCAAGGGCATGGGTCCCACGCTCCTTGGAAGCATCCCGTACGAAGGCATAAAGTTTGGGACGTATGATCTGTTTCGAGAGTTGCTGCCGTCAGATGTGGACCCTGGCTCGGACTTCGCTGGGAAACTTGTGTGCGGCGGCGGCGCTGGCATGGTGGCCACCATCTTGACGTACCCGAACGACACCGTCCGTCGGCGGATGCAAATGCAAGGCAGCGGCGGTGCCAAGCATCTATACAAGCACACGATCGACTGCTACGTCAAGCTGTATCAAGCAGAAGGCTTGCGGAGCTACTACCGGGGACTCACGCCGACGCTAGTGCGAGCCATGCCCAACATGGGCATCCAGTTTGCATGCTACGAAGTGTTTCGGAGCTGGATTCCCGCGTATAGATAACATAACATTGTTGCAACCAACAAGACATACATAACCCCACCACGCGGCTTTTGCCTCCCAAACCACGTCTGTATTACTAGTAGGATGTCCTAGTAGTACTTGTAGTAGTGTCTGTGAAGGGCAAACCCATGATTATATTGCTATGTAAATTGCATATATGGGGTACCTATTCCATGTAGCATTGTATGAATTGCATTGATTGGGACCGTATTCATTATTCGGTACTTCTCGGTGTTGGCGAACACATCATTTCATGTAGGTATTCATACTGCAAAGTGCTCATATCATGGCAGCGTGCCACGTCATTTGTGTCGGTAATCACAGAGAAACATCAACGACAATGCCTTGATAGACTACCACGGCCAGAAGCCCCAAGCTGGCCACGACCACCACATTTGTGGGGTAAAATCGTCCCAAAATCGGATGCCGGCGCAGTCCGACACACGCGATCAAAGCTACGACGAGGACGGCGGCAGCGACACCCATAGGCGCGGGGTACATGCGGTCATGGGAGGTGAGTCCAGTGGCACAAGCCACGCGTGGCGTGGTGGAGTTGCAAATCGCTTGCAACAGCATGTTCCACTGCGGCGAGCCTTCTTGGACGTGGGGATAGTGGTCATCGACCCAAGTGTGGGTAATTCTGCCGCCTTTAATTACCTACATTGCATGATGATTGAATGGAATTGGTGAGGAGTAGACAAGACACCTGCATGTCTCCAAGGTTTTGCCAGACAAGTCGCCACACTCACACACCAACGCGTTCGTGGCGTGCAGGTGCCGGGGTGCACTTATAAGGTGTCGTGATCGCCTTGCATTGTCTAAAGTCACATATTCCGAGTTGGGGCCACATGCATATTCAGGGTCGTAATGGTTGCCCGCCGAGGCTAGCGAGCACTGACCAAACCAGGCTTCCGAAATAATATATTTATTGCGACTATCTAAAATGGCGCCTCGGTCAATAGATTTCACGATATTCGACGACCTCGATAATAAATAATTGTTTGCAAATGCAAAATATCGATAATTGTTCAAATATATTATTATATTACTGTATTACACAAGGGAGTAAACATTCCAATAGGATGCATTCGCGCGAAGGAATATGATCATCTCGAAATTCACATGTGTTTTCTATGGTCTGTCATGATGTACTTCGCGACGTTGAAGAGCCGTTCAACCATGTTGCTCGTTGGACCGACAAACTTCAAGCAGCAGTACTTGTTTGCTGTTGGCCCCATTCGGCGACTTTGGAGCCAAAAGTTCGTCCGCGTAGCTCAACGGCGATCTGGGGACTGCAACCGTGCCAGGATCCAACAGGAGCATGACCAATGCATCCTTCTCAGCAGCAGTCATTTGCGTAACGACACCATTGTAAAAATAGTGTGGCGAAGGTGTATAATTGGACGAAGCTTGAAAATAGATTATCGATATCTGCTGGCACTAAAAATAGATTATTGCATCCAACGTCACATAAGAAATACTACGTAGTAGACTATTTTTGCAGTCTTATCTAGATTATTATCTCAAAGATATATTAAGTCCGAAGCCTGGACCAAACACGCTGAACATGGAGAAGTTTCAGAAGATGATGGGGCTAACGACAGACGTACCCCGACGAGATGCTCGTATCACGGGTTCACTTGGTATGAATGTACCACTTGTAGCCACTGACTGACTGGCAATCTGGATCCAAGGACTGCAATGTTGTGAGGTTGACAACCGAGACATCCAGGTCCGCCACAACCTTCGCCCCGCCAGAGAGGAAATGCACCACCTAGAGAATGTGCTTCATCGTGGCAGGAGGGAGATTCATGATACATGATGGTTGAACCACCTTGATCGTCCCTTGGACGCCGTCCGAGATGGTGTACAGTACGACCGCTGGCATGATGATTTCGTAGTATGACGAGGTCGAATTCTCTGATTGGCCTAAAGTACATACAACAATTAAACGACGATAACAAAGATCTGATTGATACAATGGTTCAAGGGCAAATGTAAGCGTTCGACGCGATAGCGCAGTGGTAAAACACGTTATGTGTCTTGAGTGAGCCCCGGGTTCAATTCCCGATCGCGTCGAACTGCATGGTGGCTGGCGCTGCCTTTCGTAGAATGCCCTTTTGACATATGGATGTGTGAAGTTTCAAATTTCAAATTGAGTTGGGCCAATCACAGCTGAGCATAATCTTTCAATTTTATCCAATTGGATCTACTCGTTACGATCCCCAGGTTTCGAAAAATTTATTTTATTGACGTGTGCTACTTTCGTCGACTTTTACTGGCAAACACCCTGTACTGACCAGGTACAAACCACTTATAATCGACAGGGTGCATAGCACGAAATCGGTCTCGAGAAGTCTGGATGGGTTATGAAACCGTCCAGAGTGATGCATGTTTCATATTTCATTCATCCGGATTTATCCGAATTTCGAACAAATTTACCACTGTTTTCAGTATGGATATTTCCACTCTTTTAAGGGGCTCTTCCTAGCTCCGTTATACTTTACAGTCTGTTAAACCCAAAATGCGTTCACAAGTAAGTTTGTTGTTATTTCATCGCACTTTGGTCGTGCTTTTGATGCACAAATACCCAAAACACGACCAAAACATGCTCGCCATCGTACTTTGAAAAAGTGATTCAAAGTACGACGGAAATGATTCTGATTGGCTCCGTTCGTTTTTGAGAGTTACTTGGAAGAGTCCCTAAGTACTTCGTACCGGTACTACGTAGTATTCATTTTCCATCAACACTAATACGACTTCCGACATGATTTTCAGTGCATTAATTCTCCTCTTCAAGAAACACTATTATAATAGCAATTTGGTATAGTATTTGCCTGGCGTAACAGTCATGCAATACCTGTATAAGTTGATAATTACTACGCACTTGCTGAGCTTTCAATTTTGCTTACAGTGAGATGGTTTCGTCGGCGGCTCCGATATCAAAGTCCATGCCACCTGGCGTCGGGGACAGGATTGGCGTGGAATGGATGTATTTGTGCGGAACGAACGAGTACTCGCTCCGCCCTGGATCTCGCATAGCATTGATGATGCGCTTCCACTCCAAAGACGATGAAGGCTTCACCGCCGCCGCCATAACACGAGGGGATGAGGTGGTAACACGAGGGGATGAGGTGGTGGCATCATGGATATTGCATTGTAATTGGTGGAAACCGACCAATCAGTGTGCGTACC